GTGGAAACAGGCTTCTATAAAAAGTCTCTATGCTCTTCTTGTTTTTAGTAAATCTGTGAGATTATTTAGGCGTTTTTAAGCAAACACCACTAATAAAGATCATTGAGATAGTGAGCTAGCATGTTCATGTGAAAGAGACGAAAGCACACTCAACGTTTGCCTCAAACTGCCCCTGCACAAACACACCTGCTCGACGTGTCAGACCCATCAATCCACACATTAATAATTACAGCAGGATCTCAGCACCTCTAATTCCTCATTAATGAGGAGAAAGAGACAGATAACCCACACTAAACATTCACCAGCATTCTGCGCTGCACAAACAATAAAGAGCAGAAAATCCTCTTGAAACCAAACTCATATGAAAGGAAATAGCAAAAGACAGGACCTCTGATCATTTTGCCCCAAGCAAAGACACGAGTGAGGAGTGCGGCATTAAAGTTTCAACAACAAACTTGGTTCCAGTTGAAACACATGGAGTTTAAGTCCTAATCCCCGAGTCAAACAGGCATGATGGGTACTAGACAAGTCTCTCCAGCAGCCTAAGCCATTTCACAAACACGTATTTTTAGTGAATAGCTGGCACCGATGATGTTCATCATGCAGGTATAGGCTATATACAGTGTAGCCTACAGGCATATAGTTCTCTTATCAAGTTTTATTGTAACTGGCATGAAGCCCAGTTATTGTGTTAGCATGTGAGCGCTACATGCTCTGACTGGATGGCAAGTGCCTACGGGTTTGTAGCATGTTTCACACTCTCTTAAACAACCTATTTAACAAAACAGTGGTCTTCTTGCTCTTCCCTCAGTTTGGTTAAGCTCACATGCTTTGAAGTTTAGTCTGCATGAAAAGAGATGATCAGAGCGCTAACTGCAGATAAGGAGAACAAAAGGCCGGAGGTCTTGCTAAGTGAGCGGTGAAGCATTTCAGACAAACAGAATACAGTCTAGCCTTCACAATAAGAGTATATTTCTCCCAAAGAATACGCATATAGACAAGCAATAGATGTGATCAACGAGATGTGGATTTTCACTAGCATGCGCACAGGTGGTTAGCATTAGCCTGTATTGTTGCTTTTAGACAGAATATGATCATGTTGAAGAGCTCTACTTTGGTGGCTACAATGGTTGCGGTCTTTGGTGTCTGGGAGGAAGGAATGAGAGCCTTTTGTCAGGAGTATAACACATCAATTAATTGGGGGAAAAGACTAGCCCTTTTCCCAGGTACAGGGGAATTTTCTCAGATCTTTTGGCTATAACGTTCTGGAAAGGTTCTCTTAAAGTTATGAACAAATGTTCATCCAGTAATGTTAATATAATGTTCATTCAAAGTTATCTGGTCTTTAATAATGTTATCAAAATGTTAGAGCAAAACGTTCATGGGTCGTTCGTCTAATGTTTTTTAAATGTTACTACTTAGGCCTACAATTTGTTACAGGTGAACATTCAAAAGTAACGTTCCGATAATGTTTGCCAAGTAATAAAATTGAACATTTCCTTATGTTTTTTCTAACGTTCACCTAACCAAGAAAATAACATTTCGAATGTTCGGAGAACATTTAGAAATAGCATTTTCCAAACTTACTGGAAACTTTGGCCACAGGCATTTTGTGACCTCTGTAAGGGAGATAAATAACCTCTGTAAAAAAAGCTGTGCGTCCAGAAGCTCTAACAAAGCACAGAGACGGACAAATAAGAGAGATGGGCGACAGAAAACCCAGTGTGTTTGAAAATAGCAGCATTTCTTTTTTCTGATAAACAACAGCTGTCAGCAGCTGTGTAAAAGAACAGTGTGAGACTAAACTGAACAGGACAACGGCCGAAGCAGGTGAAATCACATACAGCAGATGTCATTGGGCAGTTAAACATACAGCAAAAAAAACACAATAATAAAAATTGGTCAAAAATACAGGTAAAAAAAGGGGTCAAAATTATACCCAAGTTATAGTCACAGTAGCCAAAACAGACTTGAGTAAACGTAAAATGTTTTGAATTGTACCACTGTTATTGTTAACTAAATCTAGATCTATTAAAATTTGTTTTTGTTAATTGAAAAAGATTAAATAAATTAAATATATTTATATTCTTTCAAATAAACTAACAAAATAAAAGTACTAAAATTACTAAAATATTACCTAAAAATATATAAAAGACAAAAAGAAATGAATAAATAACTAAACAAAATAAAATACTAAAACAACACTGCATTGTACTTTGTAATTATCAAAAAGTAATATTATTTCTTAAAAAAAGGAAGGAAACTTTCTTAGTTTTAGAAATGGCCCTAAATTGACCAATTCTACAGACAGGAGAGATTTTCAAAGTTACTGAAAAGAACTGTAAAGCTGTTTGTTTAATAAAAAAAATAAAAAACCTATTACCTGAAAATTTCAATACCTCAGCAGCTAATTTTACAGTTGTTTACAATTTGCCATGATGACCTAAAAAAAAACAAAAAAAACATGTAAGTTAGCCTAATAAATATTAAAAGTAAAAAGGATTTCCATGACAAGCATCCTCTGGCATGTAGGAACAGGATGTGACTTCCGAACTGTGTGTGTAGCACACGGGTGTAGCATAGCAGCTAAATTTCATCATTCTACCAACCACAAGCGTGTTGTCAGACACCAGGCCTGATGACAGAGAAACACAGCACACCTGTTTGGTCCAACACAGTTATTACTCTGTTATTCAGTTCCACAGCTGTAATCTCACACACTCTTTAATAACGGACAAACAAAGCTTGAGTCGTACCTGATTCTCCTCATGTAATGACTGCTTTATAGCAACCATAGTTCTCAGTGGCAAACCTAGAGTCAGCGACTGAAAGCAGCCTCTAAAGGCACAAGCATGTTCATTTCTAGCTAGGACGTTTCAGGATTTTCAGTCCAACTGTTTAAATAGCGTTGATCCCTACCGCCATCTAGTGGTGATGTCTTCTGACTGTCGACTACAGCCACTGGCTACTTTATTAGCTAGAACCGGGTGGACCCATTTTTGCCTTCAGAACTTTAATTCTTTGGGGCACAAATTCAACAAGGTGCTGGAAACATTCCTCAGAGATTTTGCTCCATATTGGAAGTAGCCATCAGAAGATTGGCACTGTGGTCCTATAGGGATGGATGTGGTCAGCAACAATTCTCAGGTAGGCTGTGGCATTTAAACGATGCTCAATTGGTACTAAGGAAAATATCCCTCAGACATCACAGCCTTTGCTGAGATTTGACATTATTTTTTAGTTATTACATGACAAATGTAAGTATTTCAAAGTTAGGATGACTTTCTATTGTTCAAAAATGAGGAAAATCCTATAAATAATGAACAGACACATCCAAAACAAATTCTAAAAAACAAGATGCTAAGTTATACAACTGCAAACCAACCCTCAACACCAGAAATGAAGACACCAACAGAAAGACATGTAAATACCGTTTTATTGTAAGAAATGGATTTCAGTTAAAAATGTGGAACTCTTAACAGCCTGCAAGTACAAAAACAGGGAGAGAGACGGTTTGGTCGTGGTGCGGGCCCCACTATGTACCTTTGCTACAGATTGTTCTTAAAGGCCACAGAGCATTGAAAGAAAGGAGGGAAGGGTGAATCACTGCATTTCACAGACATTACCTGCTTCCAAACAACTTCCTTCCACATTTTTACTTGCATCCACCAATATTTAGCAGTTCGGATTATGAAATTACAATGAGATATTTGTCGAAACGCAAGCTCAGAAATGTGAGTGTCACTTGTTTTCCTATCGTCTCCTATTTAGAACAGATATAACGCTGTTATATCCACCCAACTGCAGCAACATTTCTAATCCAATAAACCAAAAGAACCAGCAAAGAGGCTTTTCTAGCACAAATAGGCAAGTTCTTAAGGGTCAAGGTATTTCATAGCACCAATAAAAACTGTTTGCCGGCTTCGCGTGTGCTATTGATGTAAAATGCAACATTGAGAACTACACACCGAGAAAAATTCAGATCGACTGAGAATGACCAGTGCACATGAAAACAATGAAACTACACAAAGAAAGTCAGTTCGCACAGTGATCATAATCATCATGAATCTCCAAAAACAACAAATGAACAGAGATCATTGCTTAGAAGAAGCAACTCAAAGATCAAATCCAGAAAGCTGTTGTTTTTTTATAGAAAATGAACGAGTTTTCATCTAAAAAGCCTCCTTTAGTTGATATTTTTAGTGTTTTTTGCATTTGTATCATCAGCCTGACATGGTTATTTCGGGAATGGTCTTGAAAGAGTGCAATCTTTTAAAATAACTCAAAGGATTTTATGGATTATCTTGTGTGGTCTGAAATAATCAATATTCTGCTGCTGCTATTTCTACAAATAATAATTAAAAGAAATTTTTAACAGCTTGAATTAGCCAAAGGAGAGTGCGAATAAAGGATAGAAAAAAAGCATTAAATATAAGGCAGTAAAAACAGGAAGAAAACGGGCAGTGTTTGTCTTGTCAACTCAAAATTTGTCCTTGAGTCCACCAATGTAGTGGCTGGGATAATTCTTTAAAACGAACGCAATAAAATTAGAATAAAATATTTTTACTCGTGCAACTGTGGCGCTACAGTACAGCAGCGTATTGCAGACCAAAGCGCACGACTGAGTGTTAGTACATACGTCAACTCGAAAACGACGCTTCACTACATCCATGAAACAAAGAAAAGACAAACATCAGACTGAGTCCACTCCCTCCAGACAGTCTGTATAAGGCACAGTCACTGAGGATAGACTGGAGCGCTGGTGGTGACTGCTATCTGCCTTACGCTAAAGCAAGCACCAAAACTATGAGTGGAACCTAGGAAGTGAGAAGGTTTTTGCAATGAACTAACGCACGTTTTGTCATTCCGCCCCTTGGTTTTGTATCAGCAAGGTACGGTTCCTGAATGAGACATGGTCACAGATATGTATCACAGCAGTGAGGGAGGAGACGCCACCAATAAAACACTACAGACGATGTGTCCAAGACGTTTCAGAGACATTTAAAATAAGATAAATACATTTGCAGGTGTCTGAAGTTGCTAAAAGAGGAAAACAATATTAGATTGTATTTTACAGACAGGAAACACACTCTTCCTCGGAGCGAAACACGAGTATCGTGGCAGCCTGAGGTCTGAGGGCATTAAAACAGTTCTTTCAACATGATGTGTGTCTATGCATGCTTTAGCAGATGCGATGGGATTCAATATGGAGTTAGTTCGGAATAGTCCAAATGCATAACGGGATGTGTGGATGGGAAGGTGGGAGGTAAGTGACTGGAGAGGACGGGAATGGAGAGAGTGAGAGGAGGGTTTAAACTGCAACAAGTCACGAGCATTAGAACTCCTCCTGGTCCTCTGACTCAGCGTCTGGTATGACAAATCCCTCCTGAGAGAGAGCAAGAGAAGAAAAAAGGAGGAAAGAGACAAGAGAGAGTGAGTCATCTGATAACAAAAGTCTAGACATTTAAAGATTGATCCAAGAATGTGTTTTTCTCAACTCATTTTAGGGGTAAACCTGTTGTATGATGAAAATGTAGCAAACAGTAGAAAGATGGTAAACTGGAGACATGTAACGACACGCCAATATATTGTAACGACACATCAATATGGATCGATGCATCAATCAAAAGATGTGCGTTTATGCAACGCATACTAAAAAATAATTCCGTGTAATTTAAGTCAAATTTTTGTTGTGGGTGTTCCAATTACACTCTTAAAAATTAAGGTTGTTTATTGGAATTGATGGTTCCATGAAGAACGTTTAGCATGCATAGAACTTTTCTATTGCACAAAAGATTCTTTATAGAGGAAAGGTTTTTTGGGGAACACAAAATGGTTGTCCTATGGCATCACTGCAAAAACCCATTTTTGGAACTTTTATTCTATACTCTTAAAAATACAGTACTTGCCATTTTCAGAGATTTCAATTAAATATTCATGTTATATTTTGGCTGCATTTGTGAGTAAATAAAACTGATGATGTAAAATAGGCACATAAATATCATAAAATCAAATCGTAATCGTATAGTGGCATGTCTTGACGTTTCGCTGGCTTAAAGGATTAGTTCACCAAAAAATGAAAATTCTGTCATCATTTACTTACCCTCATGTCATTCCAACCCTGTAACCCATATCGTTAATCTTCCAAATAGAAATGAAGATATTTTATTGAAATCTGAGATTTTTTTTTTTAGTTTGTTCTTGTGCATCAAGCTTCTGTTTATTTGCCGATCAATGTTTATATGTGAATAAAAGCCTAAATTCAATCCATTCATCATATAAAGCGATTTTGTCTCTTCGGAAAATTTGGACTAAACTAATTCATATGGATTAGTTTTACAATGTCTTTTTGAAGTGTCAAAGTGGTAGATGCGTAGCTGTCAATGGTGGAACTGATATCTCTCAAATTTCATTTAAAATATCTTTGTGTTTTGAAGATTCACGAAAGTCTCACGGGTTTGGAACGACATATGGGTGAGTAATTGATGACAATTTTTTTTTCATTTTTGTGAGAACTAACTCATTAAAATATTGAGGTCCTACACTATCTCAGTGACCCCCATGGTAATAAACAATCACTTATGAAATATATTAATCATGGCTGACTACTAAAAGCGCATTCCTACAAAAGTCATATCGGCCAATGCATAGCATGACATAATACTGTATCATGAGGCAGATGACAATACGTATGATAACATCACTTTTCTCTATTAAGGGTCTAATCAGAAACACAAGTCAGAGAATACTGTTAACATTTTTTAGTGAGATTGCAGTTGTGTTGGACTCACGTCTGTGGCATAAAGAATATCCACAATCCTCTGCAGGGTGGGGTCTCCTTCACCATCCTTCTCTTGACAGATCAGCTCAATATTCCTCAGTTTGCCAAAGTAAAAGTCCCGCTCCTTCTCCATGTCCTGGATCGTAGACTTTAACATATTTAACTGAAAGTAACCAAACAAACATTTTAGTAGTGATGGGTTATATATCAAACTAACATAATGATGTGAGAATGTACACAGTATAACAAACCTCTTGAATAAGCTCTGCCCTTTCTTCATCGCCACCTGCACCGGGTCTCCGCGCAGAGCTAGGCACCATCTTGGGTGTTACCTTGGCAACGGCTGCTCTCTGTGGTGCTATGGGAAACAAGCAATCACAAAAAGTATTAAGAGACCGACAAATGAGTTTCGGTTCAGTTTTGGGTTATGCAGTAAGCGCGCTAATACTATACTTCAGCTTCCACACCCAGCACGAACCCTTGGATATGTGCCTAATAATAGCGCACATAATCTTCGATTACTTTATAGCGAGAGTCCATGTAAAGTTGCTACTAACATGTTTCAAATGATAAGCCATATTTGAGGTTGATGAATGAAAGGCAAACGTTTGGCTTTCCTACCCGGTTGACATACTGTAAAACCGATCTGTCCCTCACAGACTGCGTGACTTCTAGTGGAGTTTTTTTTTCCTTGCGAGTTGCGACTTACTGACTAATAATATTTTGGTTGACTAAGCCTCTCCTCATCGACTAACGTTTAGTCGACTATTAGGGGGAAGCCCTACTACAGACACTAAAGAAGTTTAAAACCTTCATACCGATTACAGCTGCTGCTTTGGCTGTCTTAACAGGAGTAGACTAAATTATATCTAAATTACGACAAATGCACTCAATGACAAATGCAGAAAAGTTAGTATGCGTTCATGACCTCAAGGCTAGATTATTGTAATGCTCTACTGGGTGGTTGCCCTGCAAGCTTAATAATCAAACTCTAGCTTGTCCAAAATGCAGCAGCTCGAGTTCTTACTAGAACCAGAAAGTATGACTATTTTTTTAGCCCATGTCAACACTGAATTGGCTCCCTATTAAACATCACATACATTTTAAAATCTTTCTAATTACTTACAAAACACTAAATAGTTTAGCTCCCTAGTACTTGAGCGATAGCTCCCTAGTACTTGAGCGAGCTCTTAAAGCATTACAGTCCTTCACGTCTATTGCAATCTCAAAAAGTTGATAATATCTAGATTATCAAAATCAACTGCAGGTAGTAAATAATTTTCCTATTTAGCACCCAAACTCTGGATTAGTCTTTCTAGCCTTGTTCAAGAAGCAGACACACCCTGTCAGTTTAAATCTATACTATAAACACATCTCTTTAACCTGGCATAAACATAACATATTATCAATTTCTATTCAAATCAGTCTACAGGAACCAGAACACTTCCCATAACACCCGATGTACTTGTTACATCGTAAGAAGAAAGGCATCTAAGCCAATATTAGTCTGTCTGTCTCATCCTTATCCCGAGATTAGCGTAGTTAGCCGGATCCGGTCCATATCCAGATCAGATGGTGGACCTGCACCTAGACACGACCACAACACAGCCCTGAATGTCAACAGAGACCATGTCTACTAGACAATCCCTTGTGAAGGCCTCGTCGACAAGACAGATCCTCAGCAGAGACCACAAGAACCAGACAGGTCCTCCCCACAGACCCTATTGGCCAGCTTCGGCTCCATACCGGCTTGATGAATCTATCTTCAAGCAAAAGGAACAGGATGAATATTTGAATTCTACCAATCCCGATCTAAATTCTGACTTGCGATGGAGCCTGAATCATAATGGCACAGTGTTCGTTCGTTGGCCAGAGGAGAAGGAACAAAACGATCAGGTTTCCAAATGAATATCTTATTGAAGAATTTATGTAAATAGCCATGAACACAACACAATGCCTGCAGGATATTAATAAAATGGAATAAAATTATTAATGCTAATACACACTAAAAAGTTTGGGGGTGGTAAGATATGCGCTTTCTTATGTTCACCAAGGCTTCATTTATTTGATCAAAAATACAGTAAAAACAGTAATACTGTGAAATCACAATTTAAAATAACTTTTCTATATATTTTAAAATGTAATTTACTCCTGTGATCAAAGTATGAAGGGGTGAGTCATCTCACTGACCCCAAACTTTTGATTGGCAGTGTAGTTCTTACACTGAACATTTGACCTATTTGGGCAGATGTATACAATACGCACAAATATTTCTAATTCTAAAATACTAAAACCCATGAGGTTTTTAAACACTTGATGCAAAGTGACCAACCTGCATTCAAAATCTTCTTGGGCTTGCTGAGGGCAGGCATGGAGGGGTTGGGTACAGGCATGGTGTCCTGGCCCTGTCGAGCCTCCACTGGGTCATAGTCTTTTCCATCATAGTTGGCATCAAAAAACTTCTTAAACCACTGAACAAATTCAAAATTGTCTTGAAATTTGCCCTTCACCAATTTGTCAACGGGGATAATCTGATGAGAAAAACGCATCCGGATATTATTTCATGGATTTATCAGGTATGTGTATTAAAAAAAAAAAAAAAAACTGGAATACAACTACATTTGAGGACGTTATGCCATTAAAAACACCAAACAGAACTGCAAAATCAGGACTGTTCCAAACACATGGAAACCCACAAACACCATAAAGTCACAAGCTTGAGAAAAAAAGCCCTCTGTGTGCTTCTGCATGTAATACAGAAATTACACAAACTTTAAGTTTACAATGCCTATATACCAAATTACTGAGAAGTAGGCCTGTAGGCCAATATTGTACAACAACCTTAATTAAACACCAGACCCTGCCAGACACAAATCAAAATCCTTTAAAGTCCCTGTAAAGTCAAAATTAAAGGTGCCCTAGAATGTTTTTTTTTATTATTATTTTATAATGTTAGTATGTTTTTTAGATCAAAAATAGTCATAATTTAGAAATAAAAGGCATTTTTCCTAGCCTGATTTTAGCATCTGATTTGAACGCTCTGTTTGAAGGGGCGTGTCTGCTGTGTGTAACCGGCCTCTGCTGTGATTGGCTGACATGCTTGCATATGAAATAGCTATGTATTACATGTGAAACTCTCTCGAATAATTTTACTACAGCTATTATACGTTTTTACTATTACAGCTATCGAGATTAACGAATCGTGAGATGTTTTTAAAGTATTTAGATCTATTCCCATCACATAAAATGTTGCCGTGATGAGCATTGAGCAGATGACAGTGTGTTGATCGCGAGATTGAAGATCTAATCATTGCAACGCAGTTTCTGCACTCTCTCTAATGCTTTCACCAATGCAAACACGATCATGTAAATAGTAAGAGCTAGTTGTGCAGTGTAACGTGCGTCATTGAATTCATAACGAGTTTGGCAAGTGTCCAGATAAACTCGTGCTGTGGAAAGATTGTTCTTTGATCGCTTTCTGTATATGTGGAGATTCGCCTGTTTTTCAGGGGTGTTTTTCAAAAACGAGATTTAAGTAAGAAGGAGAAAACAATGGTGTTTGAGACTCACTGTATGTCATGTCCATGTACTGAACTCTTGTTATTTAACTATGCCAAAATAGATTCAATTTCACATTCTAGGGCTTTAAGTATGTGTTCTGAGTTTGTCACACCACAGAAAAATGTGTTATTAGTCACCCAGCCAAATTTGAATGATAAAAAAGCCACCAAGTAAATAAAATTAGCTATCAAAATCTTGAAAAAATGAGCAGTATAGGCTCTATGCACGATCGCTTCCGTGTTTTGTCTGAGCCCGCCCAGTTACATCCGGTGCTGCGTCGCGAGCAGTTTTTGCATTAGGTGGAGATAATGGCAAATTAAACTCGCTGTTTACAAGAACTTCCAGCGGTTAACGTGAATGATGTTAACAATATTGTGAGGCAGTTTGCAGTTACACATAAAAATAAGAAAGAGAAGGGCATTCAATTATATATTTCGAGCTACATCGACAACTTTGAGGGCGAGTAATCTCTCATATCATGCGAAATCCGACTAGCGAATCAGTTTCTAAAATTGTTGTCTCGTTTCTGAGAAAATGAATTTTATTAAAGTTTGGCCGCTAGTACACTTCGCTATGCGGAGGTAAAGACACTGGCTGAGATTCTACCGGAAATACGTCAGCAGCGTTCATGCATAGAGCCTATTCTCTGCTCTCAAACACTGGGGTCGTGTCCGCTGGCTGCGCTGAAACCACGCCCACTCACTGCTACTGCTTTCGGGACGGGAGGATGAAGGCCGAGGCGGGAGATAGTCGGTTCGTCCCCGTTCACCAGTAACAGCGGATTATCAGTGAATGCCAGTTGTCAACGACAAAAGTTTATAAAACGATCCCGTGTAAAATGATCACAACAGAAGCGGGTTTTGGCGGTTCCATCAAGGTGGCTCTTCACAAAATTAATCCACCTCTTCTTGATGTGATCGTTTTTCGGAAATGAAATAAGGACACCGATCTGTTTTGTATGTGATCGCATCCAGGTAGTACGCATTTCCGTGACGAAGGCATAGCTAGCTAGCAAACTGTAGTGTAGGCTGTAGTAACTAGGACTGACAGTAACTCGCGATTGAGCGGCAAACTGGGCACTGAGGATAGACTGGAGGGGCTCAAGGGCTCCAGTGCGTCAGAGCCCCCGTTTTAGCCCCGCCCAAAAAAATCCGGAACACAGCAATGGTGAAAAACTGTTTAACTCCATAATTCAGTTCTTCACAGTCTTTGTAATATGTTTTAGCAATACATTTCTAACACTTATAATGTGTTAAGAATTTTTTTTATTTTTTTATTGCCTTTACAGGGACTTAAAAAAAAATTGGTTGTAATGTTTGAGACTCGTCAACAAGATATAATTGTCTCACATCTAAAATAAAAATACCCTATTCTAGGTGAATATGATTCATGATGAAATTTAATAACATTTAGTTGTTTGTTGCTAAATTTTAAAAAAAAAGTCTGTAAAAACTTCTGTTTTTCTGAACCTGACCACACAAACACTGGTTGTACAGACAAGCTTGAGGAAAAGAAATTAAGCAACTCACTTTGTCAACTCCCATCCTTTTGAAGGCAGCCTGTAATATCTTAAAATTGTGTATGTATTCATGCTCTAACTTTGCACCAAATTTAACTTTCTTCAGAGGTATGCAGCCTGGGAACAGCATGTCCATGAACTGGCAGTAGGCTCCACCTGTAGGGAAAATTATAACACTTCCATTACTTCAAAACATAACCATTATATTGTACTACAAAAGAGCATACAGGCCTTACTACAAAAGAGCATACAGGCCTTACAACTCACCTGAACATAAAAGCTCGATCTTAGTGAAGTTCATCTGTAGAGACTCATTGATCCATGCGAGCATGTCATGGCGACTCAGATTGTCGCTAGTCACTGAGGTGGAATATACGTTCACAGCCATTTCCTAAAGATAAATGAGACATCATGATGAGTAACCATGCGAAGACTGTAAATAGTTAGTGTGGAAACTAGGGCATTATAATATCAATTATCATAATATAGATAATTATCATCATATCGTCATAATAAGATAATTATTCAGTTGAAATATCAATTTTACTTTAAATGATGTTCAAATATCATACATTATCCATGCTGTAATATAAAGACACATAAGCACTTCAATGAATGTACTGTTGTGCATTTTATCACATGGGTGACACAGGGAGTGTACCATGAATATTTAATGTCGGATTTCGCCTCAACATTTCCTCTTTCCATCCATCAACCAAAACACACAGAAATAGTCTTTTCAGTCAACTAATACATTGATATGTAACAGAATGAGCACCATGAAGATACTAATGTGCCTAAACCTAGTCAGTGTAATATACTGGCTGTAATACATCGTACTGGCAATACGCCAGAATGAGTCTCAAGACAGCTGAGCAGATGCTGAGAAAAGAGACAGCAGTAATGTCAGTCACTCTGGCAGACAGTGTCTTAAAACATAGTAAACCAAACCCGTCTAAACTAAGCACGTCTGATTCAAATGCTCCTTTGACGCCCAAAATTGTTTTTTTGCTCGGCAGCTCGCAAGGTTTTGAGACACAGCCCTGAGTCACACAGCGCCTCAGCTGCTCATCCACATCCAGGCCTCGCCTTCCCCTCTATAACCCTTACAAACGGGGGTATTTACAGACACTTACTACAAAGAGTAGACGCAAATGAATACACGTATTTGGTCAAACTGCAAATACGACCTCAAAGACAGCAGGACCGACGAAATATAAGACAAGCCAAGCAAATGCTTTGTCCCATAAAACATCAGAAACAGCAGCACCAGCTTCCGTTAGCGACCGGGGCTAAGCGTTCATTTCAGAGCATTCGTTAAAATTAAACAATTTCCAACGGGCATAAAACGCTTTATCTGCGCTGTCACAACATAAAACTACATCTCTGTGTCTTTATTTTATGAAATAAAAGAAAATACATGATATCTAGCGGCATTTGAGCTGTCTCAGACGAGTTTTACCTCTTGTTCGCCGGCGCCTCTTTCTCTCAGATGGATCATGCGTCGGTTTGTTCTTTGGGCGTGTTACGTCATTACGTACACATACGTAGGGAAATACTGTGGCAAATCCTTGACAAAATAAGAGTCTTTCTGTCTCACCCATAGACTGTAAAAAAGGTCTCACCGCTTTTATTTTTTAGTAAATTGAAGCAATTATATTACTAAAATGTTAGATAGATGGATAGATGGATGGACGGATGAATAAAGGGATGGATATATAGATAGATAATAGATATATAGATGGATGGATAGATATATAGATGGATGGATAGATATATAGATAGATGATAGATATATAGATGAATGGATAGATATATAGATGGATGATAGATATATAGATAGAGGGATATAGATGGATCGATGGATGATAAATAGATGGAGGATATATGGATGGATAGAAGGATAGATGGATGATAAATACATAGAAAGAGATGGATGGATAGATGATAAATACATGGATGATAGATAGATAGATAGATAGATAGATAGATAGATAGATAGATAGATAGATAGATAGATAGATAGATAGATAGATAGATAGATAGATAGATAGATAGATAGATAGATAGATAGATAGATATAGGGATAGAGGGATATAGATAGATGGATGGATGGATGGATGGATGAATGGACGGATGAATAAAGGGATGGATATATAGATGGATGATAAATACATGGATGGATGGATGGATGGATGAATAGATATATAGATAGATATGAATGGATATATAGATAGATGATAGATATATAGATGAATGGATAGATATATAGATGGATGATAAATATATAGATAGAGGGATATAGATGGATGGATGGATGATAAATAGATGGAGGATATATGGATGGATAGAAGGATAGATGGATGATAAATACATAGAAAGAGATGGATGGATAGATGATAAATACATGGATGATAGATAGATAGATAGAGATGGATAGAGGGATATAGATAGATGGATGGATGACAAATAGATGGATGATATATGGATGGATAGAGGGATAGATGGATGACAAATACATAGAAAGAGATGGATGGATGGATAGATGATAGATAGATGAATGAAGGGATGGATATATACATGGATGGATGGATGGATAGATATATAGATGGATGGATAGATATATAGATGAATAGATAGATAGATATATAGACATGAATGGATATATAGATGATAGATATATAGATGGATGGATATATAGATGGATGATAGATATATAGATAGAGGGATATAGATTGATGGATGGATGATAAATAGATGGAGGATATATGGATGGACAGAGGGATAGATGGATGATAAATACATAGAAAGAGATGGATGGATAGATGATAAATACATGGATGATAGATAGATAGATGGATGGATATATATATATAGATGGATGATATATAGATGAATGGATAGATTGATGGATTTCTTGATACAAATGCATAAAACACATACCAAAGTTTTGTGTCTCATGAAGACTTTATTTTTCTTACAGATATCTCTGCTTAATCTTTTGTATTTACAGTATGTAAACAAGAGAGTCCACAAGACAAGAGAAAAAAAAGAAACATGCCCACAATAAGTAAAATCTTTTCCTTTGCTCCTCTAGATTTTTGCAATTTTTTTGTTTATCAAGAAGCCTTTCATGGGTGACAGATCTGAAAGATATAAATCTTTGAATCTTTCCAAGAAACGTAGTGACAATCCATTAGTACTAACAATCATATTCCGTACGTTTTTGACCTGTACAAACACGCTCTTCATTTACCTTTAGCTTTGTATAGTGAACGTACTCTTCCAGAGGCACTTCTAAGTGCATCTTTCACATTAAGAGAAAAAAAATTATATTGATCAAACACAATTGTTGAAGTTTACAAAAGTTGATATGTATAAAAAAAAAAAAAAAAGCACAACAGTTTTACAGTTGCATATTTTATATCAAAGGGTGTTTCCGTCTTTGTACTAAACAAGTCACAAATTCAAATACGAAATGTACGTAGAAATGAATCAAACTTCTATAGGCATTGTCCTAATGTCGAGTTTGATGTAGTGAACAGGAAGTGTGCTGACATCATGTCATGACCACACTGAACAATAAACAGTCTGTTTGAAATGAGTCAAGGTCCTTTGGTGTTCACATCTGACTCTCTTTGAATGGCACCGTTCTGGTGATGAAAAGGCTCCTGCGCTCGGGTTACGAGACAGCAACGGAGGAGCTGCCTTTAGTGTTGTCTGTGGAAGGGGAGGGTCCGTGGTTTGCGGGTGATGTTCTTTCTCCGGTAGATGGCGGTTGGGTTTTAGGGGACTGTCCTACAGGTTTTCCGGCTGTGTCCGAACTGGCTTCTGCTTCAGTTTCAGGCTGAGATGCTGTGGCTATGTGGGATTTTTTTTTTTTTTTAAAGAAGAGAGAATTATTTATTGAGACAATTGCTTTTCAATAATAAATGCATTTGTAAAAAGAGTGTGGTTCAGAAGGGAATATAGCTTACCACATACTGAATACATCACTGTATATACTGTAGATACTGTCTACTAGTTAAAAATCGGACCCTTTTCACAGACCGATGACACGTTTCACAATCTTTAACATCGTTAATACAGCAACATTTAAAAAAAAAGTAAAGTATATTTGTAACACTATACAATTTGAAGAAAAATGGTTCCAAACAGTAACAGACTTGTAATAGCAGAACCCTTTTTACATATTATTATTTTATATTGTTATTTTTTTTACCCCTTGATCTGACTGGTCTTGTATTATCATGTAGCCTCTATTTGGGTTTTACATAAAAACACAACAAACAGCATGTTGTTTCAATTGGGTACTTTTATTTTTTATTGATATGGCAAATGGAGCAAGAATGACAGTGCTCTAACAAGTTATTAGCTGAGTACATTAATAAATAACTATTGTTATTAAACATGATATAGATATAGGCCAAGTTGCAGTGAAATCTCTTCACAATCCTCTATGATGTTGTACATTATGTGTGTATTCTGAGTGTCAGTTTCTCTCTGCAGATGATGAGGTTATGGTATGACAGCATCTGAAATACACAATTGAGTTTCGAGTTACAGTGCGTCTCTTCCAGTTGTTTATGTAAAAACAATTATGTTTATGAAGGCCAAAATTAGCAAAAATGAACAGTATGTTTACAATGTTAAAAGGAAAAAAGTGATGGGATAATTGTAATTTTTTTGCGACTGATTATGTTTATATATAAAGTAATAATTAAAAAAACAATAAGGATCATAAATTAAATATCTAACAATATGGATCATAAATTAAATATCTCTGTTACTTACTTAGTGAAAAAGAGAAGATAAGTATCCTTAACCGAACAGTGCTGGTCACACTTACATGTTCTGTTACACTAAAAAGAGAAAAAGACATGATTGGATATGAAACCAGTTACAAATTGAAAGTTACAATTTATAGACATTTTAAGAAAGAAATAATTCACCTGTTGAGAGTGTGTTGACGGTCTGTGTAGCTGATCTCCAGAAAATCAGTAATGAGGTGGCCTTGATAGTTACAAATTTGTAAAATAAAAAGGCGGGAATAAAGAACCCTTAAAGGGATAGTTCACTTTGAAATAAATTTTTGGTATGTTTTAGCTTACCTCAAGGGCATCCAAGATGTAGGTGTCTTTGTTTCCGCAGTAGTTTCAATTTTGATATTTTTAGGTCAAACCGTTCTTGTCTGTCAGTCATATAATGCAGGTCTACGTTAACTTCCTCAAAGAGCATGCACAGAGAAGTCCAAATTAAACATGATTTAATGACTCGTAAATGTAAGTACACATTGATGGCCTAAGACACGAAACGAGCGGTTTGTGTGAGAAAATGAACAGTATTTATATCGTTTTTACCTCTTGTAACCACAGCCACGTCCAAGTGATCTGAGGGCGCGGGCGCTTCGGTCTGCGCAAGCACCGGAATTGATCTCTTGCGCGTGTTTGTCACTCATTGTTTACACAGAGATTTCGGAAGTGTTACCTTTCACTGTGAAGATCTAAACATATTTAGATACACAGGAAATCGCAATGGAAGACGATTTCGATATATCAACAGACAACGTTGAATTTTTTCAGAGAGATCACTTCCGGCGCTTTCCGGAAAAGACCGAAGCGCCCGCGCCCTCAGATCACTTGGACGTGGCTGTGTTTACAAGAGGTAAAAACGATATAAATACTGTTCGTTTTCTCACACAAACCGCTCGTTTCGTGTCGTAGGCCATCAATGTGTACTTACATTTACGAGTCATTAAATCATGTTTAATTTGGACTTCTCTGTGCATGCTCTTTGAGGTGGTGACCATAGACCTGCATTATATGACTGACAGACAAGAACAGTTTGACCTAAAAATATCAAAATTGAAACTACTGCGGAAACAAAGACACCTACATCTTGGATGCCCTTGAGGTAAGCTAAAACATACCAAAAATTAATTTCAAAGTGAACTATCCCTTTAACTCTAACACAAAGAACCATTTCAGCATTTAAAGGGTTCTTCAGGATGATGCGGTTCTAAATAGAACTGTCACTATGTGTAAAGACCCGTTTACACCAAGAACTATAACTAACGATAACTATATTAGCATTCACACCAGCGGACGATATAGTTCTGTTTATTCTAAGAGCCCTGCAGTTTTGTTGTCTGCCGCTTTAAATGCTTGAGCTCACAGCAGGATGGATTCTGATTGGCTGTCAATGTTTTTATTGTTCATCAGCTGGACAAAATCGTTCTGAAAGTGATTGCAATGATATCTTTTCTCTGTGCCGTTATCGTTATAGCTGTGGTGTGAACTCTGCTATTCTTTTATATTTAGAATGATTTTTAGAGCTTTATCATTGTAGTATTATAGTTGTCATCCTTGGTGCGAACGGGCCTTAGAGAACCTTTAAATAACCATCTTTTATTAGAGTATACTTTTGTTTTTTATAACCTTGGCATTAAATTACAGAAAACTGGCTAACGCTGCTGCTTGAGCATTTATAATACAATGGATGAGGGAGTAGAAGCAAAAAATCCTCTTTTGGAAAATCATAGAAACACTATCGTGGATTTTTTTTCTTTTGCTACGGGAGCAAATTTGTCATAATTTACCCAACTATGACGACTTACGCTTCTGAGAACCCCAGAAATGTGAAAAGGGTCGATTGAAAATGGTGAATAAAAAAACTTATAAAAAAAAAGCTATACATTCTACACTGCGAGTGGCATTCTGTTATCGTCTTGGAATTAAAATAGGTTATTTAGCATTTTTATTTAATTGTCTTAACATCACTTTTTTAAAAATATTATTTGATCCGACAACAAAAATTGCATTACACTAAAATTGAATATTCATGTTGAGTGCATTGTGTAACCAGTCCTACTCGACCCACTCCGAGCGGGATTCGAACCGGGGCCTCCGGTGTGGGAGGCGGACGCTATATAATAGAGAAATAGTTTAAAGGAATAATTCACCCAAAATGAAAATTTTGTCATAAATTATTCACTCTCAAGTCGTTCCAAAACCATAAGAGTTTCGTTCATCTTCAAAACACAAATGAAGCTATTTTTAATGAAACCCAAAACTTTGAGGGCTCAAAAAGTTCACAAAAAGATCGTAAAAGAAATCCATATGATCTGAGTGGTTTAAAGTCTTCTGAATACACACTATCACTTTATATGATGAACACATTAAATCTAGGCTTTTAGATTATATACATACACACACACACACACACACACATATATATGTATATATTAGGGGTGGAACGGTTCATGTATTCGTATCGAACCGAAACGGTACGGGCGTCACGGTTCGGTGCACGAATTTACACGGAGAATACACGGTATAAAAATAAATAAAACTCGCGTGCAAATTAATTAATGTAATGTGGAACTACTGTTAGATACGCGGGTTCTTTAGTGACACATAATCTGTAGCATCAGCTTAGCTCTGAACGCGCGTTCACTTCAAAAGTTGGCTTTATACGCGCGTCCTATTCGCTTTGGACTTGCGTCGAACTAGACGCGAATTTGACGCTCTATTCGCGTTTGGTGTGACCGCATAATGAACAGGCTGCGATGTCAAGATTGCAATGCTGGAGTGTGTGTGTGTGTGAGAGAGAGAGAGAGAGAGAGAGAGAGAGAGAGAGAGAGAGAGAGAGAGAGAGAGAGAGAGAGAGAGAGAGAGAGAGAGAGAGAGAGAGAGAGGCGCGCGGGCGCGATCGAACTGTGTGAGTGTGAGAGAGAGAGAGAGGCGCGAGATCGAACAGTGGAAACATAAAAAACATAGGCCTACTCCGTCATTTTGTTCATACAGATCATTAAACCTGCAAAGTGTTCACTTATATTTGTGTACACTCGCAATAAAACAACATTGTGCTTTTGTCACACTGCAAACTCTTGTCAAACTGTAACCTACAACTGTCACCCAACCAAAATCACACACACACACACACACACACACACACTGTTTTAAAAGCAAAACATATTTATCCAACTCCATTTCAAAACAGTCTGTGGGTCCAATCTTTTGGACATTCGTCATATTGCATTGGTTTTCATTTCTTGTCCTTGGAGCACTAATCTCACACATTCTACATTCATTAAAAAAAAGAAAATTGAATGTTTTTAATGGTAGTATTATTTTATACATGCAGAAATCAATTATTTATAATTCAGATGAGAATAATGTTACATTGTCAATTCATAATGTTAAATTAAAATTAAGGAAAACAAATATATTGATCTGAAATATAGCAAAATAATATTAAATTAATAGTACAATTACCAAACATATCGCAAGGTCTTTTTGTCTTTTTATTAATTTAATTAATAAACTAATTATATAAAACTATTGTCAGTGCATAAACTGGTTCTATGCCTTTATTAATAAAACTTATTTTAAAAATACAATGCCTTCTGCATTTTTGTTTTGCTTTTCCCTACATTGTACCGAAATCGTACCGAACCGTGATGTCTGAACCGAGGTATGAACCGAACCGTGACTTCTGTGTACCGTTCCACCCCTAGTATATATGTGTGTATATATATATATATATATATATATATATATATATATATGTGTGTGTGTGTGTACTTTTATATTATGTATAAACATTGATTTTCGAACATACATAGAGCTTCATTTTTAGGTGAACTAATACAATTTAAGTAGTACGGTATGTTAGTATGTTATTCTAAACAGCCTTTCAGAGAAGTGGCTTAGCATTTGGTACATTTGCATTGACAGATTGAGCTTTGGCGCTTATTTGGCCGATGAAAGTTCGAATCTGTCCTGCAACATTTCCCGATTCCATTCCCAACAGTTTTGGTAAAAGTGCTAAAAAGTAAAAAATTACTTTTAGGTATAGAAATGGTTAGTTACCTGACTGTGTGCAGGATTTCATGTGTTCGGGCCAGTGTGCCTGCTGGCATGGGTAGTCGCAGTAACTTGTGTTCCAGCAGCAGTAGAAAATGGCCTCTTTCTTGCAGTTGGCACACCACTGCTTCTTCTTGGTCTCATCCACCGCCTGCTGTTTCTCCACCTCCATCTGTTTCTTGACCTCTGACACCAGCCGCTCTCTCTCCTGCTCTAGACTCTGCCTCATTTCAGCCATGGTCAGCTCTACACACAAAAACACACACACGATGGTGATTTAGTATTAGTGGTTAAAGCTCTGGCTTGATCATCTAGAACTTGTAGGAGTTTAGTGGGCCTTTAGTAAATGTTCTCTAAATTGCATTAGATAACAATAGTATTTGCTACAGCATCCCGAAACACAGTTTGCATTGCAGTGCTATTGAAAGTCATCAAGGAGAGTTACCCAGGTTATGTTTCATCTCTGACAGCTCCTGCTGATGCAACCACTGGAGTTTCTCAATCTCAATCCGCAACCGCCGGATCTGCAACAAAATCCACAGAGAATGTAACAAGTTTGTTTGTTTTTTAAAGTCACCATGAAATCAAAAAAGACCATTCTTATTTTTTGTGGAATGTATTATTCTTTTTATATAAATAATTTATCCGTGCACATCATCTTTTTTTAATTCATGTGCCCTTGTAACCTTTTATCAAAATAACTTCCTGCCCTCTTGCAGCTCATCTCTTCTCTTCTCTGATGATGTGTTTATTGACGTGAGGGCGGGGCAACCGGTCACTCACATGAGATCCACCAAAGGCAAACCACAGCCATCCAATCAAGTCCCGCCTTACATTTTTTCTCGTTTGAGAAGCAGTTTTGGTCACAATAGGGAAGAAACGACTATCGCAACTTCCTTTTCATGATGACTTTAATCCTTCTGTGGCTATTTTTGTGGTATGAAAAATGTATGGCGAACTATATCAGGTTGTAAAATCTGTATTTACTAAAAACTTGAAAGCTATATTTGGTTTGTCAAACCAATTAAGAACATCATAATCTGGCAGGGCTCCAGACTGCGACCAAATGGTCGCATTTTGCGACTAAAATTTGAGAGTGTGCGACTGAATTTTACATCCAGTCGCACATGTGCGACCAGTAAATTTGCCTCACGTTAAACGCATGGTTAAGCGTGGAAGGGGCGCGCGCGTCAATGAATCCGGAATGAGTGAGTGTGACAAGAATAGAGAGCGCGCGTGTCTGTGGGAAGGAGACGGAGACAAATATCACAAGCTGCTATGTGCGTCTGAGCAATCAATGAGCGATCTATCGACTCGTTACCAAGCAGCGAATGCAAACAAAATGAAAGTGGAACGAAAATACGCTACTCATTTATGCTTCACGGACCGTTAATTATTTCGGACCAATAATAGACAGAGCAGCGCATAAGCTTTCTTATGTATATCAATGGAGCAGCGCCCCGAACCACTGACAGTAGGCTAAAATAAAGACCCGAACTTGCCAGTCGCGGGCCGATCTCGCTCACGCGACACTTACAAAGAGATCCAGTGAAGAAATCCATTGAATTCGCCTCAGAATTAATAACATCATCGCTACGAGATCCAGTGAAGAAATCCATTGAATTCGCCTCAGAATTAATAACATCATCGCTACGAGATCCAGTGAGAAACATTCCGATTCGGCGCAGAGTTCTGTTATAAACCATAGATATCAGATCAAACCTGTCTATGGATCAAACAGTGCTGACGTGGAAACCAGGAGAAAAACTTATAGAAGGCTTTCAGTCCACAAATCAGCAACATTCACCATGGATTTAGGCTAATGTAGTAAGTAACTCTAACCATATGATAATGTGACAGAAATAGTCACACACCTACACATCTTTTCTAGCACTTCAAAACACTAATATTATGTAAATGCTTTTTTTAATTAATTTTTTTATGTGATGACCAACTCATTTTTTGTTCATCCTTCAAAGATTATCCTAAAACTAAAAATTTTAAGATGTTGGATAACTCTTATTTAAACACTTATTTTTTTATTTTTTTTAAATACCATTGTAAACAGTAGGTTTATATGGCTATGTTCATTCCTTAATATACATTTTTCACTCCTTTTGTTTTTTAATTAATATTAAGACATTATGAATGATAATAATAACAAAAGTTAATTTCATCTACACCCTAAATTAAGCTTAGTGATTTATTGTCAGCCCCGGTGCTACCAGAATTTTTCTTTTTCTTTTTGTAGAACTCATTTCTAACTTCTCATTTAGAGAAGGTCTCATTTGAAGTGATGCTGCCCTCAAATTTGAGTCTGGAGCCCTGTGAACTTAAATTAAAACTGCATATCGTAATATCTGTACGTTAAGTCTCTTTATTATTAAAGAATTTGTCAGTATTACAGTTATTTTGGGGGAAATTTGAATAATTGCATTACAAGCTGATTTAAGGTGTGCCCCTAAATTTTCTGCTTGTGCTCCTAAAATTTTCAGTCAGGGGCAACAGCGCTCCTAGTAAAAAAAGTTAGTCTGGAGCCCTGTCTGGTCCCATTGATTTAAAAAATGATAAAAAATATTATTCTTCCAACACTGGGACTGATTTCATGGTGTGAGAATTTTACACGAGAACTGTATCAAAGTATTGGCATAATATGAATTCAGTCTGTCAACTTGCAACCTGTAATGTCTTGGAGAAGTTAACCTTTTCATAAAATACACATTGACAAAGAGTGTGGATGATGGAATAAAGTCAACTAGTAGAAATGAAATAAGGCACAAAAAGTACACACCTCTGCAATGGTGTTCCCCGTCGTGCTCTTAGAGAGATCATTGTATATCTCTGTCATTGTTCCCTTGATCACGTCCATCACCTGCCATTATGATGGATAACACAGACAACATCACCGTCAAATTCACAACTGACTTTTAAATTATTTAGACAATTTGAGTAATAGCAGTTCAGCAATAGTAATAATCAGTTGGATCAACTATATGTTCAAACTAATTGTCCAAAAAACATCAGAACTAATTTCATTTAATGGAAGTACATACTGGAATGATATTTATTTTTTACAAAGTTGCACTTCCAGAATTACAGCACAGATCCACTTGAATTAGATGTGGCCTGCCATCAAGGTTTTGTGCTTGAAAACATATTATATAAAAATGTCAAATAAGAAATGTTGTATTGCTTTTTGAAGGCGTTATTGTACTAATGGAACTATTTAATGGATTCAATTTGACAGTTTTTACTTCTGAAGTGAATGTATGACTCACCTTAGTGGTGTACTTGGCGATGTCAGCGGCGACGTCAGCAGAGGCAGGAGGGGTGAGGAAGTCTCCAGCCAGGCTGGAAGTGGACGTACCAGACCCTGTGTTAACAGGTGAGGTGTCTTTCTGTTGAACAGCTGGTGAAACAAGAGAAAAGATTAATGCCAAATTAAACCAATGTTCTGGCTTCCTTACAAATTAAGTTGCATAAGGTTATCATCACAGGAAATAATTTTTCCTCATGTTTAAATGCAATAAAAATCTGTTTGGGGATAAATCTGAAGCTCATATTTATTTGTGAAATCACTTTACTTCACTTTTTCCATGAAAGATCGTTATTTGAGCTCTAAAATTGTCATTAACCTCACACCGATGGACAGCTGATGAATCACGATGTCCAAATAAAGTTATGTGATATATTTTATATGGTGTGTTCATTGTTTATGTCAGTTCTGTGGAGCAAAGCATTCTAGGTAGCATATTATAGCAAAAATAAACAAATACAGATTTTAGTTTTTATTGTAATCTCAATATACATTCAAAGGGGAATAAATAAAAGGGAATAATAAAAGATCGTATGCAACGTCTAGTCATTAAATACAAATATATTTATCACCTAGATTAGAAAAATCTAATATTTTTCATTTTTAAATATTTTTTAAATGTATTATTGCACATTTAAACAGATTTAAACTGAATATTTCAGCTCAGGGGTTCATGGGAAATTCTCACACAAATCCTAGTAATTAAATAAAAATATTATTATCTAGGTCAGAATTATATATATATATATATATATATATATATATGGGAATAAAACTTCTGCACTGGGAGTCAGTGTATTTACCTTTGACACACTGTCTGGTTTGGTAGCGTGTGCTGGAGTCACTGGGAATCGATGTATTTACCTTTGACGGACTGTCTGGTTTGGTAGCGTGTGCTGGAGTTGTTGGCTGAAGTCTGGGGCTGCGCTTGGCTCTGTGCCGCTGTTTGAGGAACCGTCTCTCCTTGTTGTTGCTGTCTCTGCACCTTCTGCATGTGCCACTTCTGAGACGAGGTCTGGAATTTACCACCAGCCTGGTTCCACGTCGCAGGCCTTTGGGCCGGCTGTGTGCTCTCCTTGGGCAGCAGAGGGCGCTGTTTCTTCACCACATTGGAAGCGGCAGGGACGGTAGACACGGGCTGAGCGGTGGAGGTGGAGGTGGCTTGAGTGGTAGATGCTGTTGTGACGGTGGCTGGAGGCTTGATGGCTGATGAGGCTGCATCTTTTGGACCAGGATTGGAGGAAGATGAAGCGTTCTCTGTGGATGGAGAAGCTGATATGCTGGTAGATGCAGGAGCTTTACCTAAACAGAGGGAAGAACGCAATGTAAATTTAAAGCTTCAGTTTAGATATTCTAGAAAAGTTTTTTAGAGAAACAAAATCCAAAATGTAAGGTATCTACCATCTGTTTTAATGCCCGTCTGATCTTTAGGTGTGGAGACGGGAGCTGATGGAGTCTCTCGCTTGGCTTTCTTCTTTTCCCTCCCACCTGGTTCTTCACCGAGGTCTATAACCAGCTCCCGTTCAGAGTCCGAGTCCACATCCGGCTCTGGTCCGGCGGGCCGGACGTCCTGCCCAGGCTGTGACCGCTCCTTCTGGGTCGGCTGCAGGGGTTTGTTCTTCTCCTGAGGGTCTTTGTCCACGCCACCACTTAACTTCTCTTTGGTCTGGGGATCTGAGGATTTCTTGTCCCCACCTGTAGTTCCTCCAGCGGTTGATGGGGCGGCGTCTTGGTCTTGCCCTTGAGCAGATGGAGGTCTGGGTCTCTTTTTGGAGTCTTTGTGGACACTGCTGTTGTGGTTAGTGTTCTTCGGCTTCTGCTCGTCGTCAGACATGTATTCGCTGTCACTGGAGTCAGATTTGTCCGAGTCGTCCGAATCACTGTGCTCAACACCGCGGTACACGTCATCTGAGATCTCATCGATTCCTGTGGCCAGAGAAAGAGACATTTTTTCAGTTTTAAATTTTACAGAATGGATATCTGGGGACATAATGGAGCTTAAAAGTAGGGCTTCAGATGTACACTTCTGTTTGAAAGTTTGGGGTTTTATTTGATCACAAACAGTTAACAGTTTCTGCATCATTAATCCAGTCTTCAGAGTCACATGATATTTCAGAAACCATTGTGATATGATGATTTAGAGGTCAAGAACCATATCTGATTATTATCAATGTTGAAAACAGTTGTGCCGTTTAATATTTTTGTGAAAAGCATGATTTCTTTCAGGATTCTTTGAGGAACAGAAAGTTTCTTAAAACAAAAAGGACATTTTCATTATATGACTGTGTTTGTGTGTGTGATCATCTTGAATCATTAAGAACATTTTTTTTGTTTTGAGAGAAACTACTTTTTTTTTGGAAGGGAGCATTAAATGGATCAAGAATGACAGTAAAAATATTTATAATCTTAATTATAAATGGTGTTATTTTATATATCTATACTATAAAAGCCATAGTGTGATTTTACCTTCCATTTGAAAAAATATACATTTTTAATCACTAAATTCTCAGTGAAGTACAACATTTTAAGTAATACGTCACCGACAATTCTTGAAGCAAGACCCACCAATCACACACAAAAATCTAGGCATTCCCCACTGTGAGTTTTTGCAGGTTAGCTATATAACTTTAGATAACATTAGCAGGCTAGTTAAATTGCTAGCTACCAACCAAATGTTAAATTAATACAGAACACTGTAGGGTTGAGCATAGAAACAGTAGTTATGGATTCTGATAAGACAATGAAACTACACAAAAAAAAAAAAAACCCAGACTGATTAGATTAACAGTTACAATGCTTTATGGAAGTTGTAAGTGGAGTTTATTGCCTCATAACAAGATGTTAAGGTTGAGAAAATTTAGAATAAGCTTCCTTTCAATTAATATTTTGGAATTTGAACTGAATTAGTCACAACCAACACAGGAAGATGATTTGGAATATAAAATGGAATGACAGAAAGAGAAATTTGACAAATCAAAGAAAGTTAATGACAGTTATGGCACTCTGGGAAACCTTAGTCTATAAATCTGTCTGTCTGTAAGGCTTTTCTTTTTTTTAATGTTTCTTTTTGACAAAATCGTTTTAACAAACTTTATTTTTTCTTGTTAAAAAATTACACTTATCACAGTTATAGAAATGTATTTGAATTTCAATTGATTTTAATTCTTCTACTTCTTTGTACTCAAATTTCAATTCTAGTTCCAATTGGAATTGAAAAGACATTCTCAATACAATTCTGAATGGCACAAACCCTGTAAAAAAATACAATATTTTTGTTGCTTGAATTCAAATATTGTAATTTTGTGATTGATCTCAAAGCGTGATTCAAGGCTCTTTAATGAAGAATGTGGAGGAAATAAATGTGGAAACGAGGTTGCTGAAAAAGTGGAGGGTCATTGTTGAGGTCTATCATCATTTCAGTGTGTTTGTGTGTTCATTACCCAGCTGGGCCTTGCAGCTCTCTATAGTTTTATCCAAACTCCTAGTAGGTTTTTTGGGAGAGGTGAGGAGAACGGACGTCCCTTGCTGCTGCTGCTGTTGTTGTACAGTCTCACTCAACTCCTTCAGGTCCATTTCAGCTTTAATGCGATCTGAGGGAACACATTCAACACAAATATTCAACAAACACTAAGGAATAAGTGGAGCAGTGGTCATTGTGTTGATTTTAGACTCACCAAGATTGAGGTTGAGAATGCCTCCCGTGGCTGAGCTCCTTTCCTGTTTAACCGGCGTGGGTAGGAGAGGCTTGGGGCTGCCGCTTGTCTTCAGAGACGCAGGGGACGCTGGGGGCCAAATTTGAAAACTTTATTACCCACTATTAAACAAAATATTGGCCATTTGAAGGCAGGGAATCTAGCTAATCACCTGTATAATCCATTGAGTCTTCACCGGCGCTATAGTGACTCGAAGACACTCTCGCCCCTCGCTCGTCCTGCTCCAGGTCCGACCCCGTGTGGACCGAGGAGTTGGTGCTCATTGGCGATCTGGGCATGTCCGTCACAGAGATCCGTCGTCCCGCCCCTCCTGACATCACTGTCTTACCCAGTAGCATCTTGGGGGATGCGGTCATATCGAAGTTGAACTTGACTTTGTCCTGTTTCTCATTCTTCACCGTGCCTTTTTTAGGGTTACTAGGGTCCTGCAGCATTTGGAACTGGTTGTTGGGTGTGTAAGGCGTCCTGAACGGCGCGTAGTTGAACACGCTGTATTTCTTGCGCACGTTTTCCACGTAGACCTCCATTTCTTGCATGGCGCTGTTGAAGATGCTTTTGGTCTTCTTCACAGAGAAGGGGATCTCCTTAGACATGAGGTAACAGTTGTTTATGGGCACCCAGGCTCTGAAAGGTAAATGATGAAATGATAAAAATTAAAAAATGCGTATGGCAGTATGACTCCACTATAAGACCCTTGTTGATGTACACTGCAGCTCAAAAGTTTGGAATAAATAAAATGTTTTAATGTTTTGAAAGAAGTCACCTTGTCAAAATGCTCACCAAGGCTGCATTTATTTGATCAAACAGTAATAATGTATCAGCAGCCATTACTCCAGTCTTCAGTGTCACAGAAATGATTCTGATATGCTGATGTGATGCTCAAGAAACAATTATAAATGTTAAATAATATTGAGTTGTGCTGCTTAATATTTTTGTGGAAACCATGATACATTTAAGTGCATTTATCAGCATTTATTTGAAATGGAAACATTTTGTAACATTATAAATGTCTTTACTGCCACTTATGAATAAAAGCATTAATTTTTTTTTTTTATCTTACTGACCCCAAAATTTTTGAATGGTAGTATATCTTGGCTTTTAACAAAAAAATATGAAGCAGCACAACTATTTTTCTACATTAAATAATAAGAAATGTTTCTTGAGCATTCTAATCAGCAGATTAGAATGATTATGTATGCCTTTTCATTTTTTTTCTTCACCATTTATTTGTTTTACCAATAAAGCAATACAGTAATATTAACTCATTTTTAAAACATAAAATTAACTTTTGCAAACTTATATAAACACATTGTAGCAATGAATTGGCTGCCGTATTGTTGGAAGAACTTGATTTGCAGAAATGAATCATACTTCCCAAATGTATTTGCTAGTTTAAGTCAGAAGTTAAGTTTGAATCAGAAAAGCTATTAAAATATGTTTTAACACCCTCAGGTCACAAAGCTTTTATAATGGTCTTTAGGAACGGGTCAAATGAAAAGCTAATTAAGTTCAAGCTTTGATTTAATTGATGTTGCTAATTTTGTATATTGGTAACAAAATCATTGCCATCATATTGTAGATATTCAATATATTATTTAAGTGAATCCCTAATGCCGGGGGACACACTTAACGACTGAAACATTCTAAGACTGAACTGAACACACTTACAGACTGTTTCCAGTGACTGGAGCAGATTTGAAACACCGACCGTGAACACCGACTGAACGCAACTGTCTCTGACTCAGTGAGTTTGAGCTTGATCCGTCTTACGTATCAAATTACATTCATCATCGGCCTTACAGTCGTTAAGTGTGTCCCCGGCTAAAGTAAATAGAAGAGTAATAGGCTCACCTGTCATGCTGGCCAAAAAACCGTGCGTCCACCTGACCGTCCTTGTCTCTCAGGGCTTTAGCAGGCCAGAAGGGGAAACCTTTCAGTTTAGCCCAGACCAGAGGGTGAGGCTGAGACTACAAGTAAACATAACAAACATGACCATTAGCTACACTTGAAATACAGGCCAGATATTGACTGGCTGTTTTTTTTTAAATATATTACAAAATTAATAGGATTAACTACAAACCAAGAAGCAGCTTGATATCAGGAGAGATCACTCACATATGGATAGTGCTAGAATATTTAAAAAAATAAATAAAAATCATCCTCTTACACAAGGTTCACAGAACCAGTTGTCCCTCTTCTGACAGGCGGACAGGTAGCACTCTGGACAAACCTCAATTTCATTCATCTGTGGATGATTTATAGATACTGTATCACATTACAGGACTAAAATATGTATACATATGCTACCTTTCAAATGTTTGGGGTCAGTAAGATTTAAAAAAAAGAAAAGAATACTTCTATTCAGCGAGGCTGCATTAAATTGATCAAAAGTGACAGTAAAAACATTTAAAATGTTACATTAAAGATTTTCATTAAAGAATCCTGAAAAAAAGTGTATCACAGTTTCCACAAAAATATTAATCAGCTCAACTGTTTTCAAAATTGATAATAAATAATAAATGTTTCTTGAGAAGCAAATCATCATTTTAGAATGATTTCTGAAGGATCATGTGACACTGAAGACAAGTAATGATGCTGAAAATTCAGCTTTACTATCAAAGAAATAAATTACATTTTAACATGTTAAAATACAAAAACAGTTATTTTAAATTGTGATAATAATGCTAATAATAATAGTAATAATTTTGCATTTAATTATTGATTAAATAAATGCAGCCTTGCTAAAAATAAAAGAGTTAAATATAATATATATATAAATATATATATACATACATATACAGACCTCAAACGTTTGACGGTATGTAAGCTTTTATAAAACATGTTTTATATATTGTAAGGATATTAGACTACTCACTTCATGTTCACAGATCTTGACAATAACTTTAGCAGTTGCTGTTAGCTTGTGGTTCCCTGAAATAGAGCCATTTAGACTTCATGAATGTACTGATGCGAGTAAAGATACAAGCACATTGATTTCATAGACCAGCACTAACCTCCATTATAAATGATACAGTTGTGTAGAATCCACTTCACGTCAGCCAAAAATGCTTCTGTGCAACCATACATTTTCTTCTTGATATTCTACAGACACATATATTTCTCAGTTACAGTATTTATTTTACCTTTAGGCACATACAGTGGGCTCAAAAAGCAAACATTTTGAAAATGATTAGGTTTTACAAGATAAAACAATAAATATACGCTTTAAAATAAGGACAAAAAATATCTAAACACTTGTAATACAGAAAACCTAACGTACCTTCTCTAGAGTGCACAGGTCCATTGGGTGAAATATATATTCGGCATAATCTGGGTGCTGCTCCAGGGACACTGGCTTCTGAAACGGTTCCGTCTGCAAGATTAATCATTCATAAAGATACGCCGCAAGCGTCGAAATCAGTCACGTGAAAACCAATACCATCATAATGAAAATATGGGGTGATTAAATAAATTGTGAGGGATGTGGTATTTGACTCACCCCTGGCTGTTTCATCTTCTGCAGAGCAAACTTCAGCAGGTAGGACAGTTGCTCCAAGTTCAGCATGGTCATAGCTTTACTCTGAGTCTCTATGCATTCAGCCACAGTTATTTTCTGAAGTAGAGAGTGAAATGACTGTAGTATATACATGCATCACACACAAACAGTTCATAATCATTTGTGTTCTCAAGCATATAATAATATCATTAATATCTGTCGATTCATAGTTCCTGTCTCATTTAGCCTGATGTAATAAAATGTATTAAAATATATTCTTTCTATTCTTGGTAAGAACTGTCTGCCCCAAATTAGTAGTCTAATAATGCACTGAAGCCATTTTAAGTTGTAAACATACAAATCACACCATAAAAAAATTATTTGTGACCAAATTTCAGATTTCACGATGCATAACAGGATTTAGTACAAATTGTAAACAAAATAAATTGTCATCCGAGCAAATATCTACACCTCTACAGTAATTCGACTCGTTTCACTATTTTCTGAATGGTCTGGTTCATACTAGTCCAAGCAAAGTACAGAACTCTAAGGAAAGGAGAAGTGTCTGTCACATCTAGTTTTCCAAAACCTAGTGAGCTTGCGGTCTACATAGGCAGCTCCTATCATGGGTAGCATCCTAACTATAGAGTGCACGATAACGTTTAATGATAACTTATAAGCCTTACTGTGAGCTACGAGGTTGTTAATCGATAGTATTTGTTTCTGTTGAAATCGCTGGCTTGCGTTATTTCAACTTAGTTTTAAAATAACCATGCTTAACAGCAGAATTTCTGGTGAAAACTACATTACCCACGATGCAGTACACAAAATTCGAAGCAACGAAAAGATCTCGTTAGCTCCAACCACTCCCATGAAGTATAACTCAAATGACGTCTTACTAAATACTTTACATAGATATTCTACAAGCACAACAGAGTTTGAGGTTAGCATGTCGTTAAACTAACAACACAATACGCATAAACATAGCACACTCAAAAATGTTATTATACTGCTAAACGATGTTTAACACTTTTCAGTACTGAAAGAAATATGTTTATTGTGACTCGTCCGTCCGCTATTTTATATAAACATTCAGGGATTCTCCACACCGCAATGTTGCCTTAGAGTTCAGCCAAACTGTGGTTTCTTAAAGGGATAGTTTACCCTTTGGAACACAAAAGAAGATATTTTGAAGAATTTTAGAAAAAAGACCAAACAGCATTCCAGGCCATTGACTTCCACTGTATGGTTAAAAAACAACAACAACAAAAATATCTTCTTTTATGTTCCACAGAAGAAAGAAAGTCATACATTTTACGACATTAGGGCGAATAAATGATGACAGAATGTCCATTTTTGGGTGAACTATCCCTTTAAGGCAGCATAATTTCGCCTACTTTGTGAAACAACATTCAAAACATTCTGTGCCTGCGCCTTAAAATAACTAGGCAGCTCACTAGGTTTTGGAAAAGATCTTAGGTTTCCATATAACCGGTTATGGACGTGATTTATCGCTGCACAAGCAGCTTTTCGAGCTCTGAACATATTTGAATGTGGAAACTGCAAGAAGGACAGTCACATGACTTGACTAATCCAGACACAGTACAGTCCTCAGTACCTCGCACTCTGGACAGAACCAGTCGCCCTCAGGCTCTGCGGCCAGTTTGAGGCACTTGGCGTGGTAGACGCGCGGGCAGAGCTCACAGCAGAGCACCTGGCCCTCGCGGTGACACACCCAGCAGTAGAAGTCGTTCCGCCCGTCCTGCGGTACAACATCAACAGGGTCTGTGGTGAGTGCGGGCTGCTTGACATAGTAAAAGGGACCATGTCTAAGCTCACACTGAAATGCAGGCAAGAGAGACAGGGCAAGGGGTCAAATCACAAGCCACAACACTCGCAGGGGAAATGTAGCAAGGCACTGCAATAAATCAAGCATGGACAGGTAAGCAGTCACATGACCACTGGGTCAAAAGCGGCACATTGGGAAGACACTGTGTAGGATTTCGATTCACATTTCCGTAAACACACTACATGACTCATGTGTGATCTGAGAACCTTGTGGTGTCTGAGATCAAGTGTGTTTCGCCAGGATTGGAATGAAATCCTAAAATACCACCAGATGCCAAATACAGATTAGCAGGATGAAGGGACAGTGGCAAAAGATACTTTAGACAAAGTTTTGATTCATATGGAATCATCATAAATGACAGCTAATTAGTGTTCAATAACTGTAAGTTACTAGTTCATTTAAATTTGCTTGTTATTTTCACATTAAAAACATAATTAAGCAAATCCACATTTGGCATCTTTCATGAAACATTGTTCATTCATATATACTGGGACGGACCACCACAAAGACGGCACAGCATTCACATTTGATATTTAGCTGTGATAAAGTTAACTTGGGCCCAAAAAGAAGCATTCGGACACTTACATAATATTAAAAAAATGTAGTTTGCAAACAAATGATAGGTAATGAAAGCTTTTTGAGAACTAACTTCCCTTTGAGCTATTTTTGTAATGACATTTAACCAACTAGAAAGTGGAAACCACAGGTGTAGTTCATCATTAATTATATGAACACTACTGTTCAAAAGTTTGGGTTCAAGATTTTTTTAAGATTTAAAAAAAAAAGGAACTAAGGACTCCTATTCATCAAAGACTCCTGGAAAAAACGTTTCCATAAAAATATGAAGCAGCACAACTGTTTTCAACATTGATAATAATCTGAAATGTTTCTTGAGCATCAAATAATCATATTAGAATGATTTCTGAAGGATCATGTGACACTGAAGACTGGAGTAATGATGCTGAAAATCCAGCTTTGCATCACAGGAATGAATTACATTTTAAAATATATTACAATAAAAAAAAAAGCCTTTTTAAATTGTGATAATATTTCACAATGTTACTGTTTTTAATGTATTTCTTTCAAAAAACATTTTTAAAAACATGACAGACCCCCAGACTTTTGAATAGTGTACATGAAATTATAAACAGAAAGTGTCAATACATTTTGCCTTCATTATAAACAGTATAATTATTATTTTATCATTTAAAATAGGTTGTTCTTTAACACTACTCAGTTTAATATTTTTTCTCTCCAATGCAATGACATAAATACATTAAAGGGATTGTTCACCCAAAAATGTATTTCGTTATTTATTCACGCTTGTGTCATTGGAAACCTGTATGACCTTCTTTCTTCTGTGCAACACAAAAGAAGATATTTTTAAAAAGTGTCCATATTTTGTGCAATGATGTTTGGACCCCATTGACTTTCATTGTATAGGCAAAAACAGTTGAAACGTTCTTTAAAATATCTTCTTTTGTGCTCCATAGAAAAAAGTAATATCTGAAACAGCATGAGGGTGAGTTAATGACAAAAGTTTCATTTTTGGGTGAACTATCCCTTTAAGTATGCCTGTAGTGTCCAAATGCTTTTTGAGAAAAAATCCCCACAAGGGGTCGACTTTGTTCATGCAAATCGGTAAAAGCATTCGGCCAATGACCAATGTTTTATCATTAAAAACTGCACATTGAATAGAAATAAAATCAATCACATAGATTTACAAGCCACAATCAACCCTGATTATTTAATTTGGCCAGTCAAATGCAAGAAATATAAAAGGACACAGGAAGAGGCAAGAGTTTGACTTTTAAATGTTTTTTAAATTAAGCATTTGAAGCAATTCTCAGCTCAAACCAATTAAAATCGGACAAAAGGACATCAGGAAGAAAGGGAAGCCAGTGAGGGAACATACTTGGTCTTTACTGTTGTGGATTAATCCTGGTTTCTTCTTCTTCTTTATGGGACTGGGTGACGTGTCAGAGGGAGAGTGTCCGTTTGAGGAATGTGGAGGACTGGGTGCTTTCCTCTTCTGCGCAGTCAGCGCCTGTTCCGCTGATCCCAGATCAGGGGCCGCTGGCAGGAGAAACACAGCTGCTTCATTATGCAAAGCCCACATGGATAATACAGCACCTCACCCAGCTGGGCCTGTGATTGTGACCTTTCAAAGCATCAACAACACAAACCACCATCGACCTCCACGCACAAAGACACTTGTCTTTTATGTACATCTTCAAGAATAAAACAAAAGGTGCCGCATTTAACGTCTGACTAACCTACTTACAAATTAGGTTGCATGGCATATTTGATGTGGTTCAGATTAAAAGTGTGACTTGCTTTTTATTCTCTCACAATCTATATTTGGAGTCTGTTGCGTAAGATGAACTGAAATGCTAATTCAATTTATACAATAAAGGAGTCTAAATATTAGAATTAAATACAAAAATAAAAACAAAAATACCTTTGGGTGGCATGGACACCTCCATCCCATCAACAGCATCGGACTCCGTCTTTACTTCCTCCACAGCCAAACTAAATGGAGTAGAGAGAGAAAAAGCTGGAATAAGACACTGAAACCTCATGAGGTCTACCCCTGAGATAAAAGACTTGGATGATGTAATCTAATCTCCAGAGTTATGTTGTTGTTGTTCATAGCAATCGTCCTCCAGTCCATATCTGAACCACCTTTACTTGGGCAAGGAGACCCTTGCATGAGTATTGCTTTGTCTGAACTGTGCTGTAACCTATTATCGGCCTGTATTTACAACAGGATATTAAGTGGTTTAACCGTAGGAGGGAAACACGACTGATCAAGACGGTGCGAGGCATAAACTCTCTGTGTCTAGTTATAGACCAGCACCTCCCTCAGATGAACCAAACCTGTTCATGGGGAATACCACCGTGAATAGGTCAACTCACTGGGGATTACGGCGGAGACGTCTGCTGAGCACCGGAGAGTGTCTCTGATTCAGACTCAAGTCTACTTCTTGTTTGAGAGGTTTGGCTTCGTCCAAGTTCAGGCATAATCGGGTATTAAAATACCATGAGCTACTGACATTGATACATTCAAAATGTGCCCAATAATGTGGCAGTATTTACATGTTCAGAGACGTTGTATAAAATGTAAACTGGATGTCAAGCTGACATACATTTTTCTTAGCAGTATGTTTGCCTCATAAAATTGAGCAAAAACTAATGAAATGATAATGAAATGGCCTATAGTAACAATAAGATGTTAGAATGAAACATTGCTGTCCCATGAAACCAATTTTTCCCCATTCTTGTCAACTGATATTTGTTGTTTTCTCAGAAAATAGATGTAGGTCTCAAAAAAGATCTTAACTGTCACGGCCTGCCCTTATCAGTCACAAGGTAATAAAGTGGCAAGCAATAAAAGGTGAATTTGCTGTGACAAAATGACTGGACATAGTAAATGGTTAAAGACATGCAATAAAAAAACGATGGTTCTTGCTTTATTTTCAGAAAGAACAGCAAGTTAAAGTAGGGCTGCTAGATATACTAGCTGTGCGTCTCATTTTGAAGGTCGCATTTGTCGGCCCCATATATCAAAAAGCAAGTATTATTTCAGAAAATGAACCGTTATTCATAAATTGTAGTGAAGCATAAATTGTTGTAATTTCCTAATGAATTGGGAATGTAGTGGTCGGTTTACTGAAATGAAGCAGCCTCAATGACTCCGACAAATCCAACCTCCAGAGGACGCAGCCTTCGAAATGAGACAGCGATTTGTTTCAGCATTGCCATCACAATGTGCACATATTCACATTACAGGGTGTGCGATATCAAGCAAGTAGGGATAGTAGTTGATACGTACAGACCAGGAGTCAGGAGACACGGCTCGGAATGCATGCGATTTGCAGATTAATCGCAAAGATTAACCATCATAGTGAGTGAAAGTTTATTATTTGCACGTGTTTTTAAGTCCTGTCAGTTTCAACATTAAAGTGAGTTTAAAGCATGCAAGCGCAAGAAGACCTGAAAGACAACTCAATTTGTAACTCGTGCGCTGTTTTGTATGCGCACACAGAGCCGCCGTAGACAGCACGCGAACACCGAATTCAGTTCTCCTTCTCGTCTTATTGTGCTTGAACGGACACATAACACGCAAAATTGTCTGTGCCCGTGTCAGAAATAACCAGCGTAGCGATGCAGCGACTTCCAACAGAAGCACTGAAAGCAATTCGCCACATGATACAGTTGAAAACTTCTGCAGAGTAGGAACGTCTACTAGAAACCAACAGCTCAGACACTCGATTTAATCGGCGTCAGTGTAAACAAGGTTTAAGCTGCCATGACTACAACAAGTGACAGCACATTTTCTTGGTCACTTGGGTTTCATTTCTGAAGCGTTGTGTTGTGTAGCCCTGCCTGCAATGAAATCTCATCAGACAGATGAACATTTGTGGTGTTCTGAGTGCAAATTTTCACATTGCGTTGTTGCGAAGGCCTTTAGTATTAGACGAGTAGCAACTATTTGACGTTTAATACAGCAAACAGATCCGTGAAGTGAGATTTCTTCCAATTCAGGGGGCAAGACTACCCATAACAAATTTGTGTCTTACAAAATTAATGTGAAAAAAAAAAAGGATTTACATATATCTGCTCAAGTATCTTGAATATGGCCCAATATATATTGTATTGAACTTAAAGCTGAAGTCGGCAAGTCTGGCAGATTGAGTGGACTTAGGCAAAATTTTGAATGTTTACAACTCTCATGCCCCTCCCCCACTATCAACGGATACCCTCCCACCGAGTTCGTGCTCGTCAGTGCGTGTGCACCAGGTTATCTGTGAACGCGCCCGTCTCATCAGCATCCATCAACACCATGGAGTATTTGGAGGTATGCTGTCCTGGCTAATCTACCGAGAGATTGCAATTGCTAACGTCATTTATACTCTAAATGAGCTTACATGATTTGTTAGTGTTTTGAAAGCGAGATACATCCGCCATCACTCTTCGTTACTGCGGCTGTGCATGTGATTGTAACGTGCGCGAGGGGTGGCGTGTGCCCGATCTGTGATTGACAGTCAGATCTCACACCCCCCTGCGCTGATTGGACCCGATGATCTGTGGATTTTTGCAAAACAAATAACACGCTCCAGGTGGTGTTAGAAGCTCGGGTTTTCTTCTAAAACCACTTTATTTATGTTGTTCTTTCGGATTATAGTGTCGATTTCACTGAATATGATAAAAAAATGTTGCCGACGGCAGCTTTAACATTCGATCATGCAGTGCTATTATTTTATATCATTATCTGACCGAAATGTAACATCTAAGACCATACCGAGGTAACAAAATGGAAGTTATACATCCAGCAATAATGGAATCTAATCAGATACATCCAACAATTAACAAAAGTTAATGAAAATAAACTGATAAGCTTAAGGATTAAACAACAACAAAAAGAGGTGAATACTTCACTTAACACTTAACCACACATATATTGACCACAAAGAGGCCTTATTCAACCCCATGAAGAGGAAACCCACTATGGTCAATCAATCAACAAAAACCTTCTCAACCACAAGGCTAGAATGGAAATGACGGGTACCAAACAGAATCATGTAAATGACAGGCGAAAGAGAAGAGGCGGACCAAGGTCAATGGCACAAACAAAATCCTACAACAATGAGGCCTTGATCCTGGTCTTTGTGCAGAAGAAAAGACCAGAAAAGATTAGAAGCTGGCAACGGATCTCCATTACATGAGGTCAGGATTAGGACCAGTGTTGAGAACGAGCACGGATGAGAAGATTGATCATCAGGCCGCGATGAGGCCTTAGTCTTTGACTAATTCTCATTGACGGAGCTACGGCTTGAAAAAAAATAAATCCATGTACTTTTACTGTGTTTAGATATTCGGAGACATCCTTCATCAGGACAGTAAAAAGGAAAACTCATCAAATAAATCCAAAGTGGCAAATAACCTTCCATTGCGACGAATAAAACTCACCTTTCTCACAAGAAAATATTCCAGGTTGTGCTGAAAAATCATAAGTAATCTGCAGAGTATGTCAGAAACGAGAGTAATGACATTAGTCTGGAGAACGTATATCCGTTTCAGCAAACTTGAATTAGACATATGATGTCTGAGGAGGGAAATGCACATCTAAGCAGGTAGCCAAGGGCCTGAAGGCTCTCCATTTTTTACTTTAATTTGAGGCTAAAAGGAGCCGCATGGATGTTATTTCACATTAGGGCCACATCACGTCAGAAACTCCCATCCACCAGGCCTTTCTATTCCTGTTCGCTTCAGAAAGGTCAAGCCAACTGTGAGGCTGAAAATCCAGATCTCTACACTGAAATCAAAGAAACAGGAAGTCCTGAAGCTGATCGAACGAAGAGAAAGAAAAGCACCGCTCTGCAACCAAACCGCCCTCCAAAACTGGATCTTCCTGAACGATCTGAGCAGAGAGACAATCAGAGGTCCTCGCAAACAGACCAAATAAAGAGAAAGGCAGCTGTGAATGTGGAGATAACTGGTCAGAGAGTGAGCCGAGGTCTTTTTTTTCTCTCTTCGCAGGAAATGAGAGTGCCTCCCTTCCCCCACCGCTCTGCTCGAGCTCCCCTTCCCCCCTCCCTCTAGGCCAGAGACGCGGGCTCTGGCACGTCCATGGCACAGGAGCTTACAGTAAACAGGGAGAACGACAGAAACCCTAGCATATAGGTCAGTCTCAAGAGCCACAGCTGAGAAAAACAAGTGAAGCGACAATGCACCCGAGTATCAACAACATGCAAACATACATTTCGCTATTCAGACAAGGCAAGCCTTCCTCTCAGATTGAGCTTTTGGGCCGTTAAAGGGAGCTGCTACTTTGTGGTTCATGGCTGCATTGTGAATCATTTCAAGGGCAAGCAGTGACTGTACAAGAACACAGTTGTTTCCTGTCACAATGTCGATGTAGATTTGATATGATTTGACTTTTTCTGTTGCTCTTTGCTGATTTAACACAGGCAAAAAAAAACTTGTCAAACCACTGCGGGTCATTTCCTCCGAACGGCAAGAAGCCAATCACCACAATCCTTTACAATGTCGTTTCCTTGACAAGAATCTCAATCACAGTGGCATAATCTTCCTGGGAACACACAAAACTTGAGCTATACCGTACTGACATAAAACCCTCCAGCCATTTTCCCATAAAGAGAAGCTAGGCTAACAATATAGCTGACTATATTGTGAATGCAATTAAATTAATTGTTCATAATTACAACAACTAACTCGGGAACCATTTGTTGTTTGATAAACAGGTGAAATACGATACGTACTGGAGTTTTTTGTAACGCAGCCATAAATATCATTAGAAAGGCCAAGGATCCGTTGGGAATGAGGCAGGGGGCTTTTAGTCCCGTGTGGTTTGCGCTCGCTTGTTTTGTCTTAGGGAGCAGCTGTGTGTATGTGCCGTGGTGCTATTTTATTGTTAACATCACCATAAATCTAAATAATAATTTAAAAAAATTTAAAGGAGATAAGAAATATGCAAATATCATCTAAACAATCTTCTTAAAAATACCTCATTGCCTTCTCTATGACAAGAATTTATTTTCACACAATCTAAGCTGAATTTAAATGTTATGCATTCATTTCTAAATAATTCAACATTGCTAATGCTGACATAACATAATGATAGTGCGTGTGCAATAGTGCAATGCAAAAAAATAAAAGTCTGCTCACAAAGGAAATGAAAGCGGACTATAATTCTTAAGAACTCAATGGCTTTTTGTCATTGTGGCTGTCTGCACATAATATGGGTTACAGTATGTATTCTAATCACTGGCCTAAATAACAAAATGGCTTTTTTTGCATGATTTGCATGAGGCTGATGAATTCCTTTTCCAAGAATAATCCATGCTTGAAAAATGCTTATGACAAAATGGTGTCTCATACTATTTTTAAACTCGTACTTGCACTCACAATGTGACTGACAGTAAACAATGATAGCAAAAATCATGCAAACGCCCACACTGAGTAATTATTTTCTTAAGGACGCGTTGAAAAACAGCACAGAAAATAGCTGGAATCACTAGATAAATAAAAAAAACGACATGGGATTGTCATCTAACATCCTTCCTAAAGCTAAACCTATAAAATGAAAATATAAAACAAACACGAATGCCACTGAAAACTGTGCTCTCCGCCCCTCATTGGTAGATCACGTCCTGAATTACCCATCCTGCCCCTGTGTAAAATGACCACAGCTGGGACTCTCTGCTCTCTAATAGGGCCCTAACAGATGCCTCCATTTTCTGTTGCGTGGCTTGTGACACAAACAGACAATGGGACAGGCATTCAGCTTAAAAAAAGTACATCACCCAAGCACCCCACCCCCCTGATCCTCCTCCCCCTACGTGGGGCAGATCAACATCTACAGAAATGACTGTCACTCAGCTGTTTGCCAGTTCAGCAATGAGTGATAGCTGACTTCGTTTGCCATGTAACCATGTGACCGAGCAGCAGCACACAGGCCAAAGCTCAGCAGAGAGAGAGGGAGAACGCCTGACCCCCCTTCTCTGGCCCTCTCCCCCACCTCCTTCCTCCTCTGCCCTGTTTTTCTGAGACTCAGGCCTTTGCTAGGCCTCCCCAGTCAGTGGAGAATCAAATCTGCAATTCACAGTGTTAGCAGTGGATGAAAACAGTACAATGACAAGAAAGGACAAACGTAATAAAACATCAGGCTTACCTCTGTGGATGCATGGCTGAAACAGTGTAATGTCAATACTTATAAAACATGGAGGACAGCCTCAGCCTTTAGACAAGGGAGGGCTCTCCTCTCCACACTCAGAGCTCAGGCCTGTGTGATCAGAGCAGGGCCGTGACTGGCTGCCCTCCCACATGCAGGATGTAAGGCCTCGTCTGATTGGCCGAAGCGCTTCCTGAGTAAATTATCTTTGTTCGGCACTGGCAGGATCAGCAGCAGTGAGTGCGGGAAAGAGCACCGAGGAGAGGGAGAGAAAGAACTAGGCCTCACTCACTCTAAAAAACACACGCTTGTTTGCACAGACCCACTACGAAATGGCAGCTAAATATCCGTTAGCTGGTTAAATTGTGTGGGATTTCGCATTAAAGCTCTTTTGTTTGTCTGTGTGGAGCCGTAGGCCTTTGTTTAATCCCTTCCCCCATCAGAGCCGGTTGAGAAATAGGAGACACTCCTTTAGTGAATATGAGCCCTGAGCAAAAAATAGTGCAGCCACCATAACTTCCTGTGCTTGAACTGCAACTGATTCATGAGCAATATGTAAAGTAGATATGGTGTTCATTCCAAAAAGAGAAATGCAATGTACTTTACCATATTATATCAGTAATCAGTGCAAAAAACAAACAAATGCAATACACTTGGATGTTACATAACGAGTAATGTACCTAAACGGATTAACTAAACCCTGAAGCACTTAAAAAACAATTCACTATATTCAATGAAGATAGTTTTCTAGAATAAAAAAGTACCATAGGCTATTATGAATGATATATTTTCACATTCACAAAAGCAGAGGAGCTAGCTAGGCAAATGCCTTAGATTCATTACAATAGTGTGAGTGTTAAAACAAAAATTCTCTGAATCTTTACTGCATTAAGATATTGGTAAATTTTAAGGTGAATCTATTCGATGAATTAGTAGGAATGTGTTTAGGCCCTCACAGCAAAAGCCTCCACTAGGCCGGAAACAGCGCCGCCTGCTCGCTGACACTTACACAACACTGACACCCACTGGAGAGCCGGGGAACTGACTCCCATCGATCATCACATATGCTAGCTAGGTGAAACCTCTTTTGTTGTTATTGTTAAATAAAATTAATAGAAAAGAAGTTGTTTTCGGTAATTGAAATAAAGCTGAAATAGAATACAATACTAATAGATAAAAAAAAAGTGAAAATGAGAAATGTTGCATTGAAAACTAAGTTAAAGTGCTTACACACAATTTCTCAAACCGTGGCTCCTTTTCTCTACACACAAAACCACAAAACACGCACACAACATGCAAAACGTAACACATCTCTTGCAAAAGCAAACATTCAAAAAATGTGTTTTTGTATAGTAAACCTACACAGAAACCATCAAACGCAAGGCAAGAGCTGTTAGTTTAGAATAATGTGCCTAATGTAGAGTGCAGCGTTTTGCAAAAAAGTGTCTTACAATTGCAAACTGAGAGGCGATGGCGCCAGCATGTTGTACGGCAAGCCGTCGATTCCCGAACACTTTAGTACGGTAACTTAATGGTTTGTGATTTTATGTTAATGTCTTTGTTTTTGTGCTTGGTTGTTGAGGGAACTATTTTGGACATTCAAGCTTCAATTAACTTTGTGGCTCGCCAAAACAATCACCGGTGGCCATGGTTTCACCTTTTCCAAGCACCTGATGTCCATCCATATACCGCTGGAGTTATCTCTCACCTTTTAAAAAGAAGCGCCACAAAACAAAACACGAGACGGACGGTTAACGAAGACCACGAGGAATGCGCGCGTATATTCGCTGCACTTCTGAATGTGAGGTCAGTGGGAAATAAAACGCAATACTTCGCGATTTTATTGTTTAGCAAAATTTGGATTTTCTGATTTTAACTGAGAGACCCGGTGTTTTCTGCCTGAACTCGTTAGCCCCCCGCGAACTCCAATGTTTTAAATGGGCCTAACGTTACTCCCGGATCCACTGGTCGAGGTGGGTGGGGTAAAATTGCATTTAAAGTACATTAATATGTCCAACCAATAATAATAATAGTAATAAATTTAGTGATATCATATATGACATCCCCTTAAAGAGATAGTTCACCCAAAAATGAAATTGCTGTCATCATTTACTCACCCCCAAGTTGTTCCAAACCTGTAGAGTTTCTCTGTTCTGTTGAACACAAAAGAAGATATTTTGCAGAACGTTTGTAATCAAACAGCTGACGGCACCCATTGACATTAGCAGGTTAGGTCACATGCTGTCAAGGCACCACAGTGAGTTCATTTAAGAAAGATAATATGTATAAAGAAAATATATATAAATTCCATTTTTTTTAAATGTCATTGTACGACCAAAGTTTTAGGTCATTTTTAATGCACAATTTGTAAAAACAATACATAAAAGACCAAAAAATGGCATGCATAAATGTATATTTGTGTAGCTGCACTATTGTTCATTACTTGCAGGCAGTATAATAGCCTTTTTGCCCGTGTTTGTGGTAAATGTTAGTTCGGTTTTATAGAAGACAGAGGAAAAGCTGTACCTTTTCCAGACAGTATTGATGATAATGAAAGCAGTGCATCAGATAATGAGGTCTTATAGTAAGAAAGGAAGAAGTTAAGGATCAAGGAGGATAGAAGCTGTGAGGGTTAGGGCAGAGATGAAGAATATAAATCCTAGATTGTTGTGAAAGTCAGACATTTTGGGTACATTTATCCCATGCTAGTTTGGAAGATGTGATCGATGCTACAACCAAAGATCAGAGATCGAGTTAAGTGAAGTGACGCAACTGATGCTGGTAGGTAGGTCACATGATAGTAACATGGCTGGATAAATGGTATTCATAGCCTATACTATCAGTGGAGCAATACTTTTAATTTTGAATTACAGCTGGTTAAACTGGAACTGACCAACACTGTTCATTGTGCAGGATTATTATTATTATTCTTTCTTTTATTGTTCCGAACCACTGACAATCTTTTAATTATTAGGGACTTTAACATTCATGTATTCTGCCAGTTTAACCCATTGGTAAGGCAGTTCTCTGACCTTGTTGACTCTTTTAACTTGACAAAGTCCGTTTGTGATGCTACATATACAGGGGTGCTGCACATTTTTTAAAGTCAAATTTGAGGCTTTTTAAGACCTGAAGAAATTAAAATTAATACTGCACATTAGGGGTGTGCAATATTGACAAAAAAGTATATCTCGATATTTTCAAAGTTTTGTTGATAGCAATAATTAGATGCTATTTTGCTGAGTTTGTTTTTGTGCTGGCCTGGTATAATGGCTGGTTTAGGCCTGTTGTGGACAGCTGACTCACAAAGACATATTCATATTATTCATATTTCCTATGCGGTGGTCAGTTCACAGCAGTGACAGAAATTATTATTTTTTATTAAGGGGCAATATTTCCAGGGGAATATTTACTTATAATGGCATTTTTTAAAACTTATTGGATGTATTCATCACCTTTTATGTCAAATTCTAACATTCAAATTAAATTCAATAAGAATAATAACACAATATAGGGCTATTACCAATCAAATTAAATCCTCAACAAAATCCATCTTCGCAGTGCAGAGGTGACACAGAAGCAGCATCAGACGTGGCTTAATATATTTACACTGCATAACAATTGTATGAATAATGCTAAATGCTAAATATGAAATGATTTCTAATTTTAACTTTTCAAGGGTACTTTAAATATGAAACTAAAACCGCCAGTAGGTGGCAGCAGGTCACTGTCTTAATGAGCGAGTCATTCGTTCAACCGATTCGTTTAAACGGCTGATTCATTCAAGAAAGAAACAAGTGAATGGGTCATTGAATCATTGATTGTTTCGTTCGTTTAAAATGCAGAGATTCAGTCAGTTAAAAATCATCGCTGTCTGTTGCATGGAGGCTCGTTCTGAAGTGGTTTCATTTTGGAATTTTCGTTGGCGAAATAAACAATATAAAATGTAACTCACAGTGTTATAACTTATTGTTCATTAACATGTTGTATAAAATAAATATCATAATAGTGCTGATATTTGGTGGAAATGGCACTCTTGCTCGTGTGAAATTGTAATATAACTACATCATCATGTAATTATAAGAAAAAAACTCATCGGGGCAAAAATGCTCTTGTATTTTGATTTTTTTTAAGGCCATATTCTGCATACATCACGCAGTGAAAGCGAGTGACGAACTCGACGTCAGCTCGCACATTATTAAAACAATAATTACAATATCATTAGACGATACATATGGCACATCCCTACGCACATAAATAATGTACTTACTTACATTTGAACTGAAATTTACCCATTTTCTTCTCCATCTCTCTTTCTTTCGCGTGCAGGAGAGGATATGCTGTCGTAAATGCGCGAAAGTGAATTGTCACGTGACGTGAGCAAATCCGTAGCCTATAATACAAATAATTGTCAAATTAAATAAAAAATAAATGAACGCTAACTATATAGGCCTAGTTTTAATTTGGTAAAGGATTTAGATATGTCTAAATCAAAGTGTCATCTAAAATGTAAGACCTCTCATAAAATAAGACGTTTTAAGACTTTTCTCTCTCTTTCCTAGCGTTATTCCCGCTCATTCAGTGCCGAATTTCGACTCCCTGCCAAATGATTTCCCCCTAGTTGAAGTCATTACCTGATTGTCTAATCCAAACCCTGTCCCCCTGAACTAATCCTAAACCTACCAATACTGGAGGTAATAATTTGGCGGGGGCCAGAATTCGGCTCATTTGCAGGGTCCGCTTTACACACACATGATTTGGCACAGGTTTTACGTCAGATGCCATTCCTGACACAACCCAGTCACATCTGAGAGTGCTGGGACACCTTCACACCATGCTTCACACTCAACAATCTGGCATATCCAATCCACCTAACCTGCATGTCTTTGGACTGTGGGGAAAACCAGAGCACGGGCACCTGTAAGGAACCCACGCTGACACGGGGGAACATGCAAAGCTCGAACCGGGGACCTTCTTGCTGTGAGGTGACAGAGCCACTTACACCATGCCGCACATTTTAAGACTTTTTATGGCCTTCAATTTTAAAAATCTAATTTAATACTTTTGAAGACTTTTTTAAGTATCTGCTGGAACCCTGTGCTACTCACAGCCATGGTCACACTTTTGACCTAGGCTGCATCCGAAAACTTAAAAATGCTGCCTAGGGAGGACGCATTCCAAGGTGAAGGCATCAAGGTACATCCGAATCCAAAGTTAGCTTCACTTCCTGCCTCATGAGAGACCCTCATCTGATCGATTTTTGAAGGCAGCATAGATTTAGCCTATCCTTTGATATCCCACAATCCTGTGCTTTCCATTCTGTGACAGTTGAACTAAAAAATAAAGATGGTGTCTGAAAGTTGTCATTTTTATCATTTTTAGTGAAAAGTTACTACTGTAGTACTTAAATATTCGCTTAGTTATCACCAAAACTTGCACTATTTTGCTGTAAATCATTAAACCGTTACGCTGCCTCAGAAGTCTGCCCGAAAAAAGTCAGTTTCGTGAGGTGCCTTCAAATGCGGCCTGCAAAGTCATTGCCTGATAGGGCAGCGAGGCAACAAAATCAGCTGCCTAAGTTTTCGGGTGCAGCCCTGGTTTTATCTATTAGTAATGTGGCTAAAGAGGACAATTATATATATCCAGTGGGCGGGGCCAAATATACGATGATGTAGATGGAAGTCTGTTTCTGCAGAGGCGGTCTCTCTCGCACTATTAAGTCATAATGTGACAGAGCTGGTTTCAATGAAAGCTGTTTTTGGCCTAACAAGGAAGTTTTGAGTTCTAAAATTTACAGGATTTTTTTATAGTACAATGACCTCTTAAGCTCGGGCCGACGTAGTTTTTTCGGCGTGTTCCACACCGTTGGCTCTAGTCAGACGCTGTTGGGTTTATTGGGCCGATTCAGCATGTAGAATCGCCGTCGGTGAGAGGGAGAACTCTGATTGGCTGTTCAGCTTGGTGAACGAGTCAGTGCACGAGAATAATAACAAAACAGCAGCAAAGAAGTCAAAACCGTACAGAAGGCTGTTCTAATTTGACGTCATCTTACCTGAGTGTTCCTTGGCGAATATTTTTATATTAACATGAGCGGAGTGGAATAAAGAAAGTGATCAGCGGTTTCCCATTTCGAATGAGGAATGTAGATGAATATATCTGCAGAAATAGACAGTTTTCTCATTAACACGCAGGTGCAGAACACGCATGCTAGTTGAAAGTCGGCTGTAGTTCTCTCAAGTGCAGAATTTTGCCCCCGATGCAGGCGATGCGAGGCGACAACACAGTCGACTTTCATCAGCGCTAGTCCTTTGGCGTCCGTTTGGGGGTTCCTACCTATACTTGTCAAAAGATCAAGGGATTTTATTTTATTGACTTGTTTTTAAAGTGCTATATAAGTTGAAATATCGAATGTACGTTTTCTAAAGAATTTGAGATTGTGAAGTGCACATTCGATGGTCACTTTACTATCCCATGAGGCCACGGAAGGGGATTTATGAATGGAAGTGAAGCGACAGGTCACGTGGCAATAACAACATGGCAGATCATGTAGTATGTCCACATTTCATTCATATTACCCATATTGATACTATATGGAACTTGCTTTTTAACGGTCACAAAGTAAATTCAAATGTAGTTACCTACTCAGTATGTGATTTTGGACGCACCATCTGTCTGAAGATTAGCTATACGAGTGAATGGTTTCACCGAGTGGACCTCAAGTGACACTTTCAAGTGTCAAGTCCCAGACTTAAATGTATGTTTGAGCTGGTCTAACCTTAAAGGGTTAGTTCACCCAAAAATGAAAATAATGTCATTAATGACTCACCCTCATGTCGTTCCAAACCCGTAAGACCTCCGTTCATCTTCGGATATTTTAGATTTATTCCGAGAGCTTTCTGTTCCTCCATTGAAAATGTATGTACGGTATACTGTCCTTGTCCAGAAAGGAAATAAAGACATCATCAAAGTCGTCCATGTGACATCAGTGGGTTAGTTAGAATTTTTTGAAGCATCGAAAATACATTTTGGTCCAAAAATAACAAAAACTACAACTTTATTCAGCATTGTATTCTCTTCCGGTTCTGTTGTCAAGCCGCGTACACGAGTCCGCAGTGACGCTGATGACGTAAGACGCTGCTGACGTGTTATCTGGTGCGTCCGTGTATTGGGGTTCAAATAAATATGGCTGGGCAAAAAAATGCAAGTCTTCCTCTGTGTCGAAATCCTTAGACATGTTTGCGAAGATTGTTTTGTTTACAGCGTGCGTCTCCCTCAGACTGTAAACGAAGCTCAGGCACACCAGATAACACGTCAGCAGCGTCTTACGTCATCAGCGTCACTGCGGACTCGTGTACGCGGCTTGACAACAGAACCGGAAGAGAATACAATGCTGAATAAAGTTGTAGTTTTTGTTATTTTTGGACCAAAATGTATCTTCGATGCTTCAAAACATTCTAACTAACCCACTGATGTCACATGGACGACTTTGATGATGTCTTTATTTCCTTTCTGGACAAGGACAGTATATCGTACATACATTTTCAATGGAGGGACAGAAAGCTCTCGGACTAAATCTAAAATATCCGAAGATGAACGGAGGTCTTACGGGTTTGGAACGACATGAGGGTGAGTCATTAATGACATTAATTTCATTTTTGGGTGAACTAACCCTTTAAGTAACTTGCTCCGACATATCTTAAAATATGTCAGTGCCATTGTTTTGTCTCAAGATGCACACCAGTAATTCTAAGACACGTTTATAAAAGCTACTTAAATGTCCTAATTGAACTAATCCTGGCTTATTCTAAGCCCTGTCTGTGAAACCAGGCCTTAGCTTAGTGTCTAAGATATAAAAAAACTGTAATATTAATAGAAAGATAAAAAAAATCACATTGCAAAATTACAAAAATTTAATTAAAATACCAAACGGAACATTTAAAAATAAAAGCATGTTCAAAATATTAATAAGTAGCCTATTATAATAGTATATCAATGCTATACAATACTGTCCTGCAAGTCCTACTGATTTGATCATACATAATTGTTTATTTTATTTTTTGTTTTTAATGTAGTTTAATTTAACTTTTAATTGTTTGTATGTATCTGCGTGTAATTGTACATATAACATGCTACTAATATTTTATTAACCTATAACCATGCCAATAATGCAAACAGGAATTCTGAGTTGCTCTTTGGTCAGATTTCAGAAATATAATCACACTTTCAGTCTCTCTCTCTCTCTCTCTCTCTCTCTCTCTCTCTCTCTCTCTCTCTCTCTCTTCTCTTTAAAAAGGGGGCAAGGCATTTCACGTGATATGGAGAACCACAAGAAAGAGAACTGATAAGAAAATAAAGAAAGCAGGACATGTTGAACATCGCCATCTGGAAGCTCATTGTACTCATGGAGAGAGGTAAGGTCACTAATTTTGTGTCGCAGACATTTATATCCTTTTCCTATAATTTTTTTTTTTTGTTAGTGGAAGTGTAGCTTTCAATACATAAATCAAGTGCATTGGGAATTAAATGAAGTGCATTGGGAATTAAATGTGTACAAAGATTTATCAGTCAATAGGAAAGTTCCTGCATGATTTCTGTAGTTAATTCAGAGCAATGTTCTGTTATTTTAATGAAGAATACTAATGAAATCATATGGGTTTTTTTTCTTTTAGAGAGGAATTAAAAACAAAACATGCCCCCATCAGCTAGCACAAACCTGGGCTATACCCCTCCCGATGGCGGCTGGGGGTGGGCCGTGGTGTTGGGATCCTTCATCTCCATCGGCTTCTCTTACGCCTTCCCCAAGTCTCTCACCATCTACTTCAAAGAAATCCAGGAGTATTTCTCCATCTCCTACAGTGAGATAGCCTGGGTCTCCTCCATCATGCTGGCTACCATGTATGCAGGAGGTTAGAAAGCATATTACTCAACTTTGCATAATGATTTGATGGCACAATGATATGCGTGTGAGTCATTTTCGCGATATTGCTTGGCATTGCATACTCCCACAAGCAGAGCACTTCAATGTGTGCTAAAAGTAACCAAATAACCCAAATCAAAGATTACTTTGTCCCCATGGTTGCACAATATGAGAGTCTCAGAGCGGTGCTCTCTTTTTTTTAGTCTTCTTTGTATAACAAATTTAGAGGTCAACGTTTTGGTAATTCTTTTGGGTTCATGACACCTAATATGAGCATTGCATCACCTTTTTCTCTCACATTGCAGGACCCGTGAGCAGCATTTTGGTCAACCGCTATGGTAGCCGCCCAGTGGTGATTGTTGGTGGGCTAATGGTTGGGCTTGCTATGGTAACAGCGTCTTTTGGCACTACCATTTTGCATTTGTATTTATGCGTGGGAGTCATTGGAGGTACATATTTTAATCTTAATCACAGCAATAACCTGAGAAATGAGGACATAGTGGACCACAACACATAAATACATAGTATATAGATTGTAACTCAGTTCCCTTCTTGTGACATTGTTCTTCTGCTAGTAAAAAGCATGCTTCATTCTGATTGGTCAGTGTCAGTGCACTAGGGTTCCGCCCCTGCATGTGAATGATCAAAGATTACAAACTCAAGGTCAAAGCTGTCTGTTTCTGGGTTAAATTCAAGCACTAAATAGAAGCTCTGGCTTTTTAATTCACTACAATTCAGAAAAAAACATGCCATTCCTTGTTATTTTGACATGGAGAAACTGAAACCTGACCTGAGACCCAACAACAGCAATGTCCGATTTGTGAGCGAATCATTCTTAGGAATCAACTGTATTCAACTGGTTTACGAATCACATTCTATGATTCATTAGTGAATTCGACTATTCGGATTTGCAGCAGTTAGAAACTCACTGTTTCAATGATTCATTCAAAGTGAGTCTCAAGTTAACAAATCACTGCATTTGTCTGACTCAAAATGAGCCAAAAACCAGGTGTAATATGTTTCTCATTGCTCCAGTGTGCTGACTCCTAATAATGATAATTCATAATAATGTTAGATTGAACACTAACCTATTTAGAATCATTTCTATACGATTTTTTAAATGTTTTTGAATAAGTCTCTTATGCTCACCAAGGCTGCGTTTATTTGATAAAAAATACAGTAAAGACAGTAATATTGTGAATTTTTTTCAGTGTTACATGATCCTTCAGAAATCATTCTAATATGCTGATTTGATGCTCAAGAAACATTTCTGATTATTATCAATGTTGAAAACAGTTGTGCTGCTTAATATTTTTGTGCAAATCATGATGTATTTTTTTTTAGGATTCTTTGATGAATAGAAAGTTTAGAAGTTCAGCATATACAGTATTTTAAATCTTTTGTAACATTATAAATGTCTTTACTGTCACTTTTTAGCAAATTACTGCAGCCTTGCTATATAAAACAATTTTTTTTGAGAATTATGGAGTATGTAAAATCCTCACAGATCAGTACATTTACTTTTGATACTTAAATTCAGAAGTAAGTACCGTAAAACTTCAAATAATAGCCGAGTCCCAAATAGACGCCTGTCTCTTTTACACGCCTGGTGTGGCTGCAGGTTTGGGTAAATAAAGGCCGGTCTCAAATAGAGGCCGGGTCTGTTTTTTAGTTTCGGGTTGTATTTAATCCTCTAAAACCGTCAGATCGTCCGCTTTTTGGCGGCCGCCAAAGCACATTTTTGTCCCTCCAAAGTCTTTTTTGATCGATGAGTGATGTAGAATAGAATGACTGCTGCGCCTGACAGGGCGCGTTACAAGCAGAGAGAGAGAGAGAGCCCCGGCCGCGCGCGCGCACTCTCGCGTCTTCAAACACCACGAGCGCTGTCTTGCTCTCTCTCCCTCGCTCATACTAATCAAAATCAATTGACGCGATAGTAAAAGCTCGGAAGACCGCAGTTTCACGTGGAGCATTTGGAGATTTTTAGAGATTAGAGACAGGCCTATACACTCAATGAACAACATCTCAACACTAAATTATAAAGGCCTGTCTCATATAGACGCCTGTCTCAAATACAAGCCGGTGCAGTTCGACGATTTGGGCAAATAAAAGCCCGGGCTACTATTTGAAGTTTTACGGTACTTTTACTCAGAAGTAAGTACTTTTACTCAAGTACTTTTATTGGAGTAATATGTCATGTACTTAGTTAAATGTTAACTCATTGACCATGCACATAAAATGCTTTTGTTTTACAGGCTTTGGCTTAGCTTTTAACCTGCAACCATCTCTTACGATAATTGGCAAATACTTCCTTGTGAAAAGGCCATTAGCAAATGGCCTGGCAATGGCAGGGAGCCCAGTCTTCCTGTCCACCCTGGCTCCCCTCAACCAGTTTCTCTTTGACCGTTTTGGATGGCGAGGAAGCTTCCTCATCCTCGGAGGAGTGGTGCTCAACTGCTGCGTAGCTGGAGCCCTTATGCGGCCCATCAAGATGAAACCAGCGGCGAGCCAAACCACTGATGAAAATGACAGCGGGGATCTGGACGTCACCCCTCAGACAGCTGGACAAGACAAGTCCAAGCAGTCAGGCCGTGCCGTAAAGGTCAACCAGTTTATTGATGTAACCCTCTTCAAGCACAGAGGCTTCCTCATCTATCTGGTGGGGAATGTGCTCATGTTTTTTGGCTTTTTTGCCCCAGTGGTCTTCCTGGCACCATATGCCAAGCATCAGGGGATAGACGAATACTCCGCAGCATTCCTGCTCTCCATATTTGCTCTAGTGGACATGTTCGCACGTCCAGGAACGGGTCTGGTCGCCAACACCAGATGGATCAGGCCCAAGATCCAGTATTTCTTCAGCTTCGCTGTGATATATAATGGCCTGTGCCATCTGATGTGTCCGCTCTTACCAGGTTACACAGGCCTGGTGGTGTACGCTGTGTTTTTTGGCCTGGCTTTTGGCATGGTGTGTGCTCTTCTTTTCGAGGTACTCACGGATTTGGTGGGAGCACAGCGGTTCTCCAGTGCGGTTGGGCTCGCTACCATTATAGAGTGTGGGCCTGTCCTGCTGGGACCACCAATCTCTGGTAAGTCCTCACTGTTATATCTCTCCGTGTTATATTGTTCAGGAAGTCTATTAACAGGTTTCTTCCTCAGGTTTACTGGTTGACATCTTCATGGACTATAAATACATGTACTTTGCTTGTGGTGTGATGATGCTGGTCGGCGGTATCTTCCTCTTCATCATGAACTATTACAACTACAGATGGTTGGAAGAGGAGAAGAAACAGAGTTTGGTAGAAGAGCTACAGATTGTCTCAGCTAAAGAGCTTGCTGCCATGGGGGAGGTCAAACTCAGCACAGAGGAGGAAGCACTGGACTCAACCCAAGAGCCCTGAATCTGTCTTCTTTTGTTAGAATGAAACTATCCATCCATCCGTCCGTCCGTCTGTATGCCTGCTGAATGTTGCAATCAAGCATTCCTCAGTTGCATTTTTATAAACTAGTTTTTCTTAGCATTTTAGATTGCTTTATTTTTAAAGTTTTCTTTCTATATTATTACTTCAATAAATTATAAAACAGGTAGGGCTGTGCCTAAGCCTGTTTCTGCTCATATATAGTGTTATTGCATAACTCAAGTGTTATTTTAGTATTATTTATATAGATAGTATTATAGTATTTATTAATTTATTAACAACTTTTATATTTTAAGTTCTAATTTTAGTTTAAATCTTTCATGTGCTTTTTTTTAGTGTCATTTTTTTTAAATCCGTTTTATATATATATTGGTTTGAGTAATTTTAATACTTTAACTTACTTTATTTTAGTTAGTTGCCAAGGCAAACTTGAAACTCATTTTCATTTAAGTTTTTCATCAAAACCATTTTTTTATATTTTCAATTTGAGGTAAAGGCAGGGTAGGTGTGATCTATATGTTTATATATATATATATATATATATATATATATATATATATACAGTGGATGAAATAATTATTTGATTGCCTGCTGATTTTGTAAGTTTGCCCACTTACAAATAAATGAAGGGTCAATAATTTTTATACTAGATTTATTTTAACGGATAGAGACAGAATATCATATATTATATGGGTTATAAATTGATTTGCATTTCAGTGAGTGAAATAAGTATTTGATCCCCAAGCAAAACATAATTTAGTACTTGGTGGAGAAACCCTTGTTGGCAAGCACAGAGGTAAGACGTTTCTTGTAGTTGGTCACTAGGTTTACACACATCTCAGGAGGGATTTTGGTCCACTCCTCTTTACAGATACTCTCAAAATCCTTAAGGTTTCTTGGCTGTCACTTGGCAACTCAAAGTTTCAGCTCCCTCCACAGATTTTCTATAGGATTAAGGTCCGGAAACTGGTTAGGCCAGTCCATGACCTTAATGTGCTTCTTCTTGAGCCACTCCTTTGTTGCCTTGGCTGTATGTTTTGGGTCATTGTCATGCTGTAAGACCCACCCATGACCCATCTTTAGTGTTCTGGCTGAGGGAAGGAGGTTCTCGTCCAAGATTTGACGGTACATGGCCCCGACCATCAGCCCCTCAATACAGTGAAGTCATCCTGTACCCTTACGAGAGAAACAGCCCCAGAGCTTAATGTTTCCACCTCCGTGCTTGACTGTAGGGATGGTGTTCTTGGGGTCATAGTCAGCATTTCTCTTCCCCCAAACACAACGAGTTGAGTTGATGCCAAAGAGCTACATTTTGGTCTCATCTGACCACAGCACTTTCTCCCAAGTCTTCTCTGAATCATTAGATGTTTATTGGCAAACTTCAGACGGGCTTGTACATGTGCCTTCTTGAGCAGAGGGACCTTGCGGGCGCTGCAGGATTTCAATCCATTGCGGTGTAGTGTGTTACCAATGGTTTGCTTGGTGACTGTGGTCCCAACTGCCTTGATATCATTAACAAGCTCCTCCCGTGTAGTTCTGGGCTGATCCCTCACCTTTCTCATGATCATCCTTACCTCATGAGGCGAGATCTTGCTTGGAGCTACAGACCAAGGGCGATTGATGGTTATTTTGTATTTCTTCCATTTCTGAATAATGGCACCAACAGTTGTCTCCTTCTCACCAAGCTTCTTGCTGATGGTCTTGTAGTCCATTCCAGCCTTGTGCAGGTCTACAATCTTGTCCCTGATGTCTTTTGACAGCTCTTTGGTCTTGCCCATGGTGGTGGAGAGGTTGGAATGGAAGATATAGATTCTGTGGACAGCTGTCTTTTATACACATAACTAGCTGACATTAGGAGTACTTTCTTAAAGTGATAGGACTAATCTGTGTTACACATGGGCACATAACCAATCTGTGAGAGGCAGAATTCTTGCTGGTTGGTAGGGGATCATATACTTATTTCACTTGATCAAATGCTAATCAATTTATAATCTCTATATAATGTATTTTTTCTGTATTTTTTGGTTGATATTCTGTCTCTATCAGTTAAAATAAACCTACCATAAAAATTATAGACCCTTCATTTCTTTGTATGTGGGCAAACTTACAACATCAGCAGGGGATCAAATAATTATTTCCTCCACTGTATATATATATATATATATATATATATATATATATATATATATATATATATAGTATCTCACAAAAGTGAGTACACCCCTCACATTTCAGCAAACATTTTAGTATATCTTCTCAATGGACAGTCACAATACTATAGAAGTGAAACTTGGATATATTTTAGAGTAGTCAATGTGCTGCTTGTATAGCAGTATATATTTACTGTCCTCTGAAAATAACTCAACATACAGCCATTATTGTCAAAATAGCTGGCAAAAAAAGTGAGTAAACCCTAAGTGAACATGTCAAAACTGTGTCCAAAGTGTCAATATTTTGTGTGAGCACCATTGTTATCTGGCACTGCCTTAATACTCCTGGCCATGGAGTTCACCAGAGCTGCACAGGTTCTGGGATCCTCTTCCACTCCTCCATAATCACATAACAGAGCTGCTGGATGTTAGACACATGGCGCTTCTCCACCTTCCTCTTGAGGATGCCCCACAGGTGCTCAATAGGTTTCAGGTCTGGAGAAATACTTGTCCACTCCATCTCCTTCACCTTCAGCTTCCTCAGCAAGGCAGTTGTCATCTTGGCGGTGTGTTTGGTCGTTATCATGCACCGTTTCTGAAGGGAGGGCATCATGTTTTGCTTCAGAATGTCACAGTACATGTTGGATTCCATGTTTCCCTCAATGAAGCGCAGCTCCCCAGTACCAGCAGCACTCATGCAGCCCCGGACCATGATGCTACCACCACCATGCTCGACTGTAGGCAAGACACAATCTTCTTGGTACTCCTTACCAGGGCATCGCCACACATGCTGGACACCATCTGAGCCAAACAAGTTTATCTTAGTCTCATCAGACCACGGGACATGGTTCCGGTAATTCATGCTCTTGGACAGGTTGTCTTCAGCAAACTGTTCGTGGGCTTTCTTGTGATCCAGCTTCAGAAGAGGCTTCCTTCTGGGACGACGGCCATGCAAACTGACTTGTTGCAGTGTGCGGGCGGCGTATGGTCTGAGCACTGACAAGCTGACCTTCCGCTTCTGCAACCTCTAAAGCACTGCTGGCAGAACTCATGTGTCTGTGTTTTGAAGCCAGCTTCTGCACCTGACACACAGCTCGAGGACTCAACTTCTTTGATTGAGCCTTGCGAGGCCTGTTCCAAGTGGAATCCGTCTTGGAAAACCTCTGTATGACCCTGGCCTGTACTGTAACTCAGTTTCAGGGTGTTACCCATCTTCTTATAGCCTACGTCAACTTTGTGGAGAGCAACAATTCTAATTCTCAAATCTTTAGAGAGGTCTTTGCATGAGGTGCCATGTTGAACATCCAGTGGTTAGTATGAGAGAATTGTACTCAAAGCACAAATTTGAACTCCTCTAATACAAGATACACAAATTTGAATGGTCCTGTTAAGCAGACAAAAACATGCAAATGATGAATATAGGACATGTGGCTTTGCATGGTTAAACGACGTACAGCTATTATCACTTAGGGTGTACTCACCTTTGTTGCCAGCTATTTTGACAATAATGGCTGTATGTTGAGTTATTTTCAGAGGACAGTAAATATATACTGCTATACAAGCAGCACATTGACTACTCTAAAATATATCCAAGTTTCATTTCTATAGTATTGTCCCTTGAGAAGATATACTAAAATGTTTGCTGAAATGTGAGGTGTGTACTCACTTACGTGAGATACTGTATATATATCGTCTGTGGAAGGCGTAGGACCATAAAATGTTCGTCCAATCATTGCATTCCATCTAAATGCAATGATACAATGTCCTTCCTGTCTGTCATATGTATTCCCATACCTCCGCGCACATCATCAGTGTGTTTTATGCTATGCAGAGTTAGACAGACGTATGTAGAAATTATGTATCGTTTTATTTTGACAACAAAACAATGAGCTTATGCTGCGTTCACGGCATGTCATAATTACCATAATTACGAGATGGCAAGCCGTGACGTTCTATTGTCAACACTATCAACAACTAAATTAATCTGCAGCAGTCAGGTAGTACTGATGTGCTCTTCAAGTTGTTTATGTATATTATTATTATAATGTTGTGTGCTTTGAGACATGAGGTAGTTTAATGCCGTCTCTCGTGACGCTTTTGTTTGCTCCCTGCTGTATGGGCTCGTGTTGTGAAGCAGGTGTGGCTTTAGAGACGCTCTGAAGGGAGGGTGGGATCTTATGCTTTCAAAGCTAGCTCGCTATTGCTAGCCTCTCTGAAAATTACCTACCCTACCTTTAACAATTACAACACTGAAACTCAAGACCTTAATTTTGGTCTGAAAATATGGAGATGGACAAACAGATGATTGTACATTAACAGACATTCACCTTGACATATTTATATAGTAAAATATCCTAAGAAATAAAAACATTTATTTATCTATGGCATCTCAAACACAGAACTTATTGCAGGCAAAAACATTTTTTACATGTTGATTACCAAAATAGATGCTTGTTTAGCATCTCTAAACACACCACTTACATCTCAGTGCACCTTAAGAAACCGAACTGGGGTGCGTTTCCCGAAAGCATCGTTATCCAACTATGATCGCAATTCCCATTGAACTCTATTGGTAACGACGGAACTTGCGACCATAGTTGGCTAACGATGCTTTCGGGAAATGCACCCCTGATCAGTCATGGTTATCATTTTAGTCTGTGATATATGCACAGAAGCACTACAGGGCTTATTTAAGAGTGGAATGTATGTACCAAACATTTAAACATATTTCACAGATTTAAATGCATTTGCTATGCTGTTCACGTGTGTTACAGAACCAGCCATCATTATTTAAAGAGACAGTCCACACAAAAATGAACGTTCTGTCATCATTTACTTTGTGTTTCACAGAGGAAAGAAAGTCATACAGGTTTGGAACAACATAAGAATTAATAAATGATGACTGAATTTTAATTTTTGGGTGAACTATTCATTTAAGCCCTATTTGGAAAAAATGAAAGCATGACCTTTTCATTCACCATGAACAAAACATGCATAGACATGGACAGCAAATCTTATGGAGCCTAGTGCACAATACAATTTCTAGTATGAGAAGCCAGAAAGGCTCACAGTTTTAGCCAGGGATGTTTGAGACACTGAGTTGCTGTGGCCCTCCGCTCTGGCAGGAAGTCCAACATTTGCAAAAGGAAATCAGAGAAAAGCGACGCCTCTCTGAGGAGAAGGTGATATTTCTCCACCAGCACTTCATACAACCCCCATGGACGGAGGACAGCAATTCGCCGCAGGTCACCTGTGCAACGACGAACATAAGTAAACAGTTCCTTAATAAATATACTAATCACTCTTGCATTAAACTGATTCATTTAACCAGTTGCCACACCAAGATAAATTGGGACAGACGAATCTAGTGTTCTACTCACCCTTGCGGTTGAAAAACTCAGAGGAATATTTCCCAGACTGAGCAACTGACACTGGGATTTTACCCAGGAGCTCAATAATATGAGCCAGGTGGTCTAAAGATAATAGAAACCATCAACACCACAAATCTACACTTTTCTAATAAAAATATTGAGGGTGGCTTTTAAATGGCTTACCTTCCTCTAAGGAGAAATTCGGCCCTCCTTTGGGTTCAAATAAGGAATCACCGGTAGCAAGCTCGAATGCCTGGTGCAAAATAATATTGATAAAAATAAATTATTCATAAAACCACATGGAATCAGATTTTTTTTTATTCTGATTCGGGCCACTTCCATTTGTGATACTAAGGCCCTGTCCCAAATGGCACTCTAAACACTTGCGGTCTTCCTACGAGTCCGCACTTTAGTGACGCAACACCTCTTTGATTGTTGGGTAGAAGTCTGCTGCGGAGCTAGCTCGGCAAAAGTGTGCATATCAACCGCAAAGGGGGCGCTCGCGAGCACCCTTCTGAAACCTTAAATGACAAATGGGACACCCTACCATCTTGTGGACTTAATGAACACACGTATGCGGCAGCCATTGCAAGTCTACAAGACCGAAAGTGCATGAAGTGTGCCATTTGGGACAGGGCCAATATCCGATAGAGATCCGATGTTTTGCAATGTGACCTCAGTCTGAGCAGTCATGAATTCATTCTTACTACGCTTTTCACGCTATTCATTCTTCACTTTTACGTCACTCTAGATCAACGTTCATCACAATCATGCACTGATGGGAGTCACTCCAAACATGTTACATACCGATAGTTGTTTGGTTACTCAGTGAATATGGAAGTCGCAGCGAGGTTATGCCGCCTTCGCGTGTTATCGGAATGTTTCCTACTAACCACTTTTAAAGTCATGGTTATGAGCTCGTCACATTCTAGTGCTTTGCTGGCGGAAAGAACAACCATGGAGGACACCAGGTTTATTTTTGCCTATTTATTGGGAAAATCTTATTAAAGCCAAAATGATATTTAGCATCCCATTCATTGACAACCATATAGACATTCATTGCTGACAATTCTGGAATTTCGGTCAAATACAGGCTATTTTCGTAAAACATACAATATTCTTCAAATGTTTATTCATATAAATATGCACTACTTTAATGACAAGACAAGGCGATTTTGTGGAAAAATCTAATAAAGAACGTTAGTAATCGTAACAGTACAGTAACAGTAATCGTTCTACCCTCCGCCATGTTGGCGCGCTCATCTCGAGATCTTGGGTATCAAAATTATCCCTGAGCTTCCCAGTGGTATCCGACTTGGTCGGGCGTTCATGTCCAATTTTTAACTAGGAAACTCGTCTTTACGATAATTCCGATAGCACGTGAAGGCAGCATTATTCTGATAGCATTATTCCGATTCCGATAGCACGTGAAGGCAGCATTATTCTGATAGCATTATTCCGATTCCGATAGCATGTGTGTGTAATAATGTGAAAAAAATCAAAGAATTGAGCACCAAGTCGGTGTGAACGTGGCCAAATTTTCTTCTAAGGCTCTATTTCGTTAAACACTGTCTCCAGTTGTAGACTCACCAAACAGGCCACACTCCAGATGTCAGCTGGAGGTCCATATTCAGAGCCTAGAAGAACCTCCAGAGAGCGATACTGTCTGGTCTGGATCTCTTGACAGAAGTGTTTGTACTATAACAACAAGAAAAGAGGTTAGGTAATCTAATCAGATTTAAACATCAAGTGTTTTGCTCTAATTCATTGATTAAGTGAATCAAGAATATCCTTTCACAAGACCAGGCTGTATATTCTTTAGCTTTATAAAATCATTATATGCATTCACTGAATGTGTCGCACCACCCAACACGAGCTGCCGAGGTCTGCAATCTTCACCGTTATTTTATCCAAGTTTCCAGGTTTTCCAGCTGCTCCTACACGAAAGAAGTAGATGATGTCAGCCTTCTCTCTAAATCCATGTGGTTTAATATAAATGCTACATTTGATTTACTTTACATTTCTGTTTACTGATATTCTTACCAGGATCCTGGAGTATTGTGGTTTTAATAGCTGAAGTGTGCATTTGTAGTGCGCCCCCTGGGGGAGGAGATGGGGACTGCGGTGTGAGACACAGCAATATGTTCTCAGGCTTGATGTCTGTGTGTATGATCTTACAGTGGCAGTGAAGATACTCCAGACCTTCAAGCACCTGCGACAGATACAGTTTTTAGGTCTTATGCTATTTAAAATAGAATTAAATTATACACATAGTGTCTCACCTGAGTGATGATGTGTTTGACACAGGTGAGAGAGAGACCTGGACTACCAAAACACATCTGCCAACAGCGCAAGTCCGGCCCCAGCAGCTCCAACACCAAACAAATATCTACATAGTGGTCAAGAACCAACTAACTGTGTTGCTGTATTATATAAAGATGAAGTGTACACCCCAACTTTCCCACAGCACAGAATTTATACAGTCCTACTTCTGGTTGTTGAATTTGATTGGGTGAGTGCGTTCCAAGAGTGCTCATAAGGCTATGCAACTTTTCACTGTATCGTTCCACATGCGGTCGCATGTTCTCTGCAAATTTCCCCGGCTGAAACCTCGTCATTTCAACAGGAATATATGCGTGATCGGAAGTTTTATTTGAGGGCGAAAGTTACCAATGTAAATTTCGCTCATGTTCATGTTTGTCACAAGAATTTGCCACATTGACCAATATACTTTTGTGTGAGATGTGCTTCATACATTGCTACACTATTGACAATGTACCTTTTTTGCCCTTGAAATTTGGCTGAATGTTGCGAATGTGACCGCACCTATTTGATAGTACATGTTCGGGATTTCTAGTGACTCTTTCAGGTACACCAATACGCCAGTAAATGGTGGCAAGTTTTAATGTTTTAATGAGTCGATTTGAATCAGTCACTCAACCGATTTGTTCAAACACACTGATTCATTTAGGAAAGAAACAACACTGTGTGTAACTCGGAGATGCCCAGTGGTTTACTCGGAGCAGAAATTGATAAAGTGTTAAAACTGTGTCTAAAATGTACAATCTGATCATAAAGGGACATTAATTTTACCCGTAGGAAAATGTGATGAATAGCGTTTAATGTCCAGTGTATATTTTCAGAACATTCAGAGAACATTCAAAAGTAACGTTCTCATTATGTTTGCAAAATCATCAACTGGAATGTTCCATAAAAGTTTGCATAATCAAAAAAAAAAGTTTTTTTTCAACCCATCCGCCTAGGACCTTCAAATTGGAGTCGATATTAGATCTCGAGGGGTCTTTTTGAACCAAAAAAAAGCCCTGAGTAGACACCCGGGCGGCTAAGATATTGGCCAAACTCGGGGTTGGCCTCGTTCAGACAGGCCACGAGCCTCAACTGGAAGTCAGTTTTTTCAAATCAGAACCGGAACTTTGAACAGCTATAACTTCGTTCATTTTAAACATTCAAAAAACATTCAGAAATAATTTTTCATAACTTAATGAGAACGTTAGCAAAAAGTTCTTAGTTGTTAGATGGGGTGGTGCTTCATTTCACATACATTATTTTAAGAAAGGATACGGATCCCATTCACACCAGCTATCTTAAACTCATCCAGTAATTGCACTATATGTCTTTTAAAAGGGTTACGGACTGTGGGACCACTGGCCTGGAGAGAGGGAAGAGGTGTACACGCACACAGTGAAAGAGAAACAGACAACCAGAGAGAGAAAGAGCGAGAGACACTCACACATCGCAGTAATGTCAGTTCATCTTGGCCAGCCTGAGTGAATCCAGCTCCGCTCTTTAACACCTTCACTGCCACATGCCTGCCTGACCTGCAAAACCACGAACACTTAAGAACTTTTAAAAACATGTGAACACTTATACGCCTCAGTACACGGAAATGCATAGATATGTGGTGCGAACACAAAGTTTCAGTACCTGAGGTCAATGCAGAGCCATACAGTAGAGAAATAACCCCAACCCAGCTTTGACAGAACCTTGTATCTCTTATTAAACACATCTCCCACCTCGACCGGATGATACCCACCTATAGATAGATGAACTGTTATCATTAATAAATAAATTTTTTTTTTAAATAAATAAAAATTAAACAAAATACCATAGCAGTAATCTTTTGGATCTTCGTGCTCCTCTGTGTAATCCGGTTCAAGATGTTCGTAATTTCTTGCTTTTTTCATCTTATAGTCCATAACTACATGAGACCTGCATTAAAACACATATATTATTGCCTTAAAGCGACATCCGACTATTCATACATCCATAATCACACATATATGAATAATAGTGAGAGTCATAAATCTTTGCAAATGTGTTTGAAAATATATTGAGTTTCCTGTGAGTATAAATAATTTAGTGGTTGCTGATGTAGTGGAGCATATACAAAAGACTAAATCTGCAGTGTATTCTTAGACAACCACGTCCAGTATAGCTCTTCTATCCTGACACATTTGGCTCACGAAGGGTCAGATAAGCCAGCACCGCATTTAGATCTCAACACCCGCTGCTGTGGGACTTTACAGCCGGATCTCTGAACCGTGACCTGAAAAAATATCATGCCACTTTCTGTCGGTCACTCATTTCACACAAGATTTCCTAGGGCAACGTGAGGGACACATTCCCACAGTCAAACAAACTGTTCAATTTCATCTTGACTGATAGTGAAAGAAACTTTACTGACACGTGCAAAGAAGTACCATGGTAATATCACTGCATGAATATGGTATGAATATGCATATAACATAATTATTGTGATGTATGGGTTTAATCGGTGGAGGGGACAGCAGCATAATTTACCTCAACTACAGAAATGTTGTTATTAATCTAAATGTGTTATTATGTCAAGTCCTTAAAACAGCACTAAACAATTAGGAGGATGTTCTCAAATGATTAAAGGTTACATGATCTACATTCTGAGAATCACTGCTAGAGACCAAATAAGATCGAAACCATAAATAAGATCATGTGAAACTCAGCTAATATAATATATATATAAAACTACATAACTCTCATCTAAATATAAAGCAGACATTTTTGTTATATGTAAGGATTCATTTCTGCCAGGAACCAATTGGCCAGTACAGTATCCATGTCCTGAAGACCAGGGTTCACAGTCCGAAAATTGCAGGCAAACTCTCTCATTTATTTTCTTATTTCTTTTATAAGAATTGAATGAGATTTACTACAAGGCTACCAGACCACAGACTGAATCTCTGATCCAAAAACAACAACCCAACCACAGCAGCTTTAGATTTGAAATATTTTTCTGAATGCCACACTGAAACATATCCTGAAGCATGCGGAGTACTCACGATTGGCTGCAGATCATATTGGTTGTGTTTGTTTGCATGATTTCATCAGAGGTCTGAAGCTGCTTATAGATGCTCCTTTGGCTTTATGGGGAGATTTCCTCTAAACCCTCCACAACCCTCTCATTTTCTACACCTACACCCCCCGCCCTATCCCCCACCCCCCTCTCATATCAGAATATATATAGGAGACAGGTGTCTGTGCTGCTCATTTTAACTAAAGCATAAGCTAAACAAACTTTGTGGCCCTGCAAAGAAAAATCGGACGCAGCAAAAAACATTAACAAGGAACTGCTGATCATCCAACTAAAATAAGCTGCACAAAGCCATAAGAAGCCATCATTTCAAAGACTAACATTACTTTACACTGCTGTATAGTAGCAATAATTCAAAATGAAAGCGTTTGAAACATATTCAGAGCAGTAAATATTATGCAGTATTTGGAATGGAGTGTAAAAAAGAGTATACTCACACATGACATCACCCTCTATAAAAAGACAGTAGTATTCACAAAAACATGTACATGTCTGAAGCCAGACCCTGTTAGAGCAGTCTGGAGCACAAGTTGCTGTGGTTTCTGTGCATTGTCTTGCTTGTAGTGCTGAAAATAAGCACCAGTCAGCTGGAGAACAGAGAGAGAGAGAGAGAGAGAGAGAGAGAGAGAGAGAGACAGTAGCTGTCTGCGGTTAATATGAGCCTGTTAACACCTACTGACATGACAAGTAGTGTAAAAATAAGGTTCACGTCCACCTGATCCTCAATGGTCTCGTCCACTGGTTTACGTACCATGGCCTAGCCCACTGATCCACGGTCCTCTCCTCCACGGTCCTTGCCCATCTCTGCTCAACGGTCCTGGTCCACCACCAGTGGACTATCGTTACAAACTAAATGCAGGTCTGTATTTTGGTATTTCGAGGCCATTTAGTGCCATTCAAGTCACAGCCTACGTTTTTTTCTGTTACATACCCTGTTTCATTTGGAAATGCACCGCATTATGGAAGCAAAATGTGTTGTATATCCAGAATCCATAATCGGTCTGTCTTCACCGGCCAAAGATGGTCAGCGCAGACCACAACGATCTGCCCAGGTCTGTCGGTCCTGGGCGAGCCCCATCCAATTGTGTCCCAGATCTTGTCGTAACGAGTCGCGCCATCGTGTTGCAGGGCGTCCGCGTGGCCGCTTGATGTCGATCGGCAACCAGACAGTGACTTCGCGCGTTCATCTTTCGTCCGTCCGCCGCATCAGGTGCCCGGCCCAGCGCTTCTTGGCCTTGTTTGCAAATTCCACCATGTCGGCCACCCTGGTCATGGCCCGCAGCTGCTCGTTGTGGACGTGCTCGATCTGTTAAACCCCGATCATGCGGCGCTCGATTGCGCGTTCAGTCGCGGCCAGCTTTTGCCGGTCGGCCGCCGTCGTTGTCCAGGTCTCGGACCCGTAGAGCATGGCCGGCAGGACGGTGCTGTTGAATAGGGCGGCCCTGATGTCCTGGTCAATGGCTCTGTTGGTGGCCGTCTCGGCAATTGAGCCAAAGCTGACCCAGGCGGCTCGGCGTCGTCGTGCCAGTTCTCGACCAATCCTGTGGTCGGTGGTTAGCTCCTGGCCCAAGTAGATATAGCTATCGACTTGCTGGAGCTGATGCTGGCCAACATGAAGGGTGGTGTCTGCCACCTGGTCATTGCGCATCCACTTGGCCGGTCGAACAGGGTGATGGTGGTGGCCCAGTTGCTGTTCAGCTCCTGCAGCAGGGCCACATGCTCGTCACCAATGCCTTGTTGTTGGAGGGCGAGCAGCACGGCGTTGATCTCGACCGAGTCGAAGGCCTTCTCGTAGTCGATGGAGGCCAGGACCAGCGGCATCTTGTACTCCCTGGCCCGCTCGAGCAGCTGGTTCAGTACCTGCACATGATCCATGGTGCTAAAGCCAGATCTAAATCCGGCCTGCTCGAAGGGCTGCTGTTCGTCTAGCTGCTTGGCCAACCGGTTGAGCAGCACCTTGGTGAAGATCTTATATACGGCCGACAGCAGTGTGATCGGCCGGTAGTTGCTGAGCAGCTCACGGTCGCCCTTCTTGAACAGCAGTACTGTCTTGGCCGTCTTCCACTGTTTGGGGATTTGACATTGTGCCATGTAGCGGCTGAATCGGGTCGCCATGGCCGTCCAAAGGGAGTGGCCGCCTGCTTTGAGCAGATCGATATCCACGCCGTCCAAGCCAGGCGCCCGGTCTGCCTGTGCCTGCTCGACTGCATGTCGGACCTCGCTTTCCAGCACTGGTAGGATGGGCGGCAGCTGGTCGAGTTGAAGGTTGGGTGGGGCTACGGGCACCTTGCTGGCGAATAGATCACTGTAGAAACGCCTGCACTCGGCCTCAATGCCGGACCGAGTCCTGGTCGTCCGCCCGTCTGCCGTCTTCAGTGCTGGTATTTGGCCACGCTGCTGTTGCATCGCCCGCCTGCACTTTTTCAGGCTCTTTTTCAGGCTCTGTCTGTATTGATTGAGGTCGGTCTTGAGCTGCTGCGGGATCTGCTTGCACAGCAGGCCGTACTCAACATGTGGGTCCGTCAGCACGCATCTGCCTCCGCCTCTGCATCAAGGCCTTGGTGGCGTCCGAAATTCGGCTGGCCCGGCTGTTGGTCGGCACTGCAGCTGCATCGCGGCTTGACTTGAGCAGGCCAATAAAGTGGTCGTTTTCCTGGTCGATGTCGGTTTCAAGCTGGGTCCTTGTGTGTTGTATATACTGCATGTTATTGTTCATTTTAATTGCAGTCCAAGTCAGCATTATTAAATGCATTTACAGAAGCCACTACGGCTACGCTATTTCAATCTGATGATTATAAACCCTGATGATGAATAAAATATGTCTCTAGAGCTTTAATGAATGGAGGTCATCCTTGTTTACATGGGTTCTCTTCCTTCTTTCCTCAAGTATTCTCCCCTGGGCTTTTTACTCTAAATGGGACATGCCTCAAAATGGCATCACGGGTCATTAATAGATCCCTGCTATTCTCATACTGCCAACTGCCAACCTGATAATGCTTGACTGTAACAAATCAAAAGCAATTATGTGGTGGGGAAAGCAGCTGAGGCATTTCTCACAAGGCACATGATAAATGAATGATGAGTTCATTAGCAATGAGAAGGTTTCAATAGGCCTTGAGAAGCTTGGAGTGAATGAGCTTATGGGCTCGAGGTGAGGGTGTTTATCTTCCATTAAAGGTGTATTGAGCTTTACCTTGACCTCAATAACATCAGCTGTTGATGCTTTGCTTCTGTTCTCTGCTAAAATTTCATTGTAATAAGAGTAACGTGTCTACAAAAGTCTTTAAACTCAATTTATAAAATGAAAGGTTCTGACTAAAACATGGACATCTATTAATCCACCAAGCTGCTACATTGATTAACATGCTTGTAATTAAAAGGCTAATGATACTCCTTTCAGCAGATATGAACCTTCTGGCAAGGGTTTCTCAAAGTTATTAACATAAACTAACATTAAAAGAATAGTCTTTATAGTGTTCTTAAAAACTTAGCACAAAAACCTTTTCTTACACATCGTTCGTGAATTTTTTTTTTTCAGAAATGTTTTAGTTCATCTAACATTTAAATATTAGCCTATCAGAGAACACTTAAAAGTAATGTTCCCATAATGTTTTCAGAACGATAAAATGGAATGTTTCTTTAATGTTTGCATATATGATATATCCAAGAACGTTTTTTATACATAAAACGTTTTGAAAGTTCAGAAAAAAAATTAGGAAATAATGGGAACATTAGTAAAACATTCCAAAAACATATTTCTGTTAGCTGGGTTGGCAAAAGAATCATGTTTTTTTTCTTCTTTTTTTTCCAAACATTACAATCGCTGTTACAGCATTTTTATATACGTGATTTTATCACGTAGGCTATAGGCCAGGGATATACTGAACATGGGGTATATTTTATCATATATACACAATTTCTATAAATTATTTACATGATGACATCCTTTTATAACGCTATATATGTGTATGCACTGCATAAGCACTCTGCATACTGTTAGATGTCATTGATTTACATTACCAGATATCAACTTGCACCAAACTGCATATTTTTGTTCATTTTGGGCTGAATAAAAATTGTTTGAATGTTTCTCCCCTCCTCGAGTGTGAGCTCACTGACATATGAGCCATAAAAGTCTGGAGTATTAAATGATACTCAAAAAACCCAAAACAAAAACAACAAAAACAAAGGTTCAAATATTTGTCCATTAAAACATTTTAGATTTTTTCCTGACCATTTTGTCAGGCTTTTCCTGGTTAACAACACGATTAAAACAATTAGTCAATAAATGGATGGATTACAGATGGTTTGTAATCATTTAGATTACAGCTAGTCACTTTCACACAGGCAGCAGAAATCTGGATGTTTGTCACCTAGACTGGAGACACTCACGGTCTTTTCTCTGACAGATTGAAGATACTGCATGAGGATAAATATACAGTGTCTGTTGCGGTCCTGCAGAGGCTGGTTTTAGAACAGACAGATGCACATTTCCTGGCTAGAGTGAATCCTGAGTGACAGCAGCACACATAGAAAGCCCTTATAAGGTAAACCTCCTTTACTGTCTGTCCTGAAGGATGTGATGCCGAAATCGTTTTTTCAGCAATCTAAGAATTTCATTCAACGTAAGCATTACTGAATGGTACCATTTTTGAATCAGTTAAAAATTGGAATTCAGATCCTTAAATACATTAATTGTGTTAACAGGGTTATGACAGAATTTGTTCCTTTAATACAAATCTGTCTTAAAATAGTTGACAGAAAACAGAAAAACTGACAACTTCTGAAACATTTTATGAGTTATAGCAACATTTTATTTACAATACAAATGCACAGGTAAAAGAACATCAGATGGTAGAAAGAATTTACAGTCGCTTCAAACAGGCCAACGCATCCTGTGCAAGACTCACAAGATAATCTATAGTGTATCACAGCCACACATACGTATAAAACACCAAGCACAACAGTGAACTACAGCAAAAATAAGACCAGTATATCTGCATGAATGCTTATTAAGAGATCTGAACAAACAACATATTTTGACAATTGCAGTCAGATCGCTGTAGATTGATTACAAGATATAAAAAAAAGTAAATTTTTTATTTGGGGGTGGATCATAATTACCAAACTTGGTCTGTACATCAGTCGAAACACAAAATAAATAAATAAATACATAAAAATCAATAAAGTAAAACGTGCGAGCAATGCACTGTACGACAGTTATCGCAGCAGCTGAATTTAGTTCACCTTAAAATGTGCATTCAGTGTTCAGAAAACGTAAAGTAAAAAAAAGAGAATTAATGTTAGTCATGATCTGATCGACAAAACAAATCAAGCATTAAGAGTGAGACACCAGTTGGGAAATGAATTTCTAACTAAAGCAATAAAAATAGACTGGAAATTATGGAAGCTCATTTTTACCACTGAATTAAAAAAAAAAACATTAAAAAAAAGTAATTCTGACTTTTTTCCCCTCAGAATTGTAATATAAACTAGCAATTGGAGTTATAAAGCCAGAATTGTGAGATATAAACTCGAAATTGCGAGAGAAAAAAATCTGAATTGCGACTATTTCACAGAATTGCGAGTCTA